CCTCATAACCCCGATAACCCCGGTAACCCCATAACCCTCATAATCCCAATATATGGGGTTATCATAACCCTCATAAACCCGAAGGAACGAGCGTGCTGCGTTGCTTATGAAGGTGTGTGTGCCGACATAGTTATGGCATCGCTATTAATTCTTTAGGTTGCTTGATGCTTGCTACGACTTCATAACGGCGAGTACACGTTGGATAGCGAGTCTGATGTGGTGAGCGCGTTAAGTACTAGCAATATAGGAATCGCGGCACGTGCAGCTTTTAAAGATTTTTGTACGAACAAGCGGCACCGATAGCGCATCGGTGTTATTTGACGTGACGTCAACAGGGCCTTGTAAGGTGCATTATTATTTCTTCTCGGAATTACAGTCGTATATTCCTATTTTTTCGGTATTGAACTATTCTTGGAGTTCGTTGGCCAGTGTTTACAAAACAAATGTTCGCGCGCTCATAACTCTCCTACTTAGCATTACGCTTAAAACTGCTATAATCCGTGACCCTATGAATTATCTTTTTCCCATTCGATATCTCTTATATTGGTGTTTATGTGTGTGTGTATATATGCGCCCGCGCTTGCGCGTAAGAGCGTATGTTGGTGCGTACGTGCGTGGTTTCCGGAACTTGCGCGATACAGTGTGAGTTGGTGCGTACGTGTGTGATATCCGGTGCTTGCGCAATAGAGTGTGAGTTGGTGCGTGCGTGCGTGGTTTCCGGAGATTGCGCGTTAGAGTGTGAGCTGTTGCGCGCCTGCGTGCGATGGGCGGATAAGTTTATTTAAGTTAGCCTACTGAAAGCCTCAATGTATTAAGGAATAAGTTCATCATTTTTATGGTAAAGTGGCTGAATTTCATTATGAAGCCCGAAATCAATTTTCCCCAATAAAGATTATGGTCAATGAAAATGAAATTTTCATATAAAAAGTTGTTTTATATAAATCGATTCCATAGCCTATTCCCTCACATATATACATAGACTCCTTGACTCTATATATAATATATTTTAATATTTTTTTCATACATTGTTTTTCGATTCTATATCATTTGTATTCGTGCGTTTGCGTGTGTATGTATGCGCCCGCGTTTGCGCATTAGACCGTGTGTTGGCGCCCACTGCATTTCTACAGCCCTTTCAGTTGACTGTTTCCCAAGCATGTGCTAGGGTGGGCGGCAATTATTATAAAGCTATCGAAACATTGGCAGTCAGAGCTAGGAAATCAAACATGTTCGATTCTAATGTTTCACTCTGATATGCAAATCTGCAATAATCCTTAAGCGAATAAAATTGAAACTATGATAAGTTTGTTAACTTAATACTTTTTTTAAATATAATGAACCTACTGACTTGAAAGAATGGATTAGCTACTATATTATTAGAAAACCTTAAATATGTTCAATATTGAATAAACTAAGCTAGCCGAAACTATCGAATATATTCATATACTATAGAGCACTAAGATTCTATATTTTCATAGCACGGTACCTGATAAAATAAAAAAGGCAATTTAATTTATTACTAATACGAATTTGATATTGCCGAACGGTTCTTAGTTATATTTTACATATATATATATATATATAATTATTTCAGAACTCTTCTCTCCTTAATTATTTTTTTTGATTAAGTAAGAAACTATTATTTGGAAATTGTAGTCTTTGTTTATTTTATTCTGAGATTTGAATTGTGCGCGAGAATCACCCAAGAATAGTTGCGATTGCGCAGAAACTATATGACTATACAATATACTCTTCATCTATCTACTATGGACGATTGATATGCTTAGCCCTATATATTTATTCCTATATTTCGAAAGTTCTTATTAATGTTTTGTTTGAAGACGTAAAATATTTTGGATTTTTAAGTAAATATATTTTATTATTTTATTATTTGTTTTATTCTTTAATTTTTCTAAATATCATTTTTATTTAATATTAATTCTTGAACAATATATTATATAAATAAAAATTAAATATCTAGTCATTGTGTAAACTAAATGGAATATAATAAAACTCATATTTACAAATTTAATTTTGATTTTAATTTTGGTTTTTAATTTCAAAAATTTTTTTTTATATTTGTTAACTATATCAATATTTTTATATAGATACAAATATTGAAATTGTATTTCAATTCAAATCATAATATCCAGTGATTTATCAACAAAATAACCTAAAAATGAGAAATTCACAATAGTGCTTGTTTTTGTAGGCAGCTCCAAAATAGAATATAATACATCTGTGGAGTTTCATGATTTGAAAACTATTAATAGCATAATATCGTCTGTTTATGGAATATAACAGTATGTTGGTATCCCACTCTGGTTTTGCAAATCTTTTAAATATTCCGACCGTATTTTGAACAAATTTTATCTTAGAATTGGTGAAATTATGTCCCTTTCATAAAACATTTAAAATTTTGGCCAAATTAAAAATATTCAAACGAAATATTAATAATCAAGAGATTAAGCAAAAAATGCAATCAAATATTAATTTTTCGAAGAAAAAAAATCATTCAATAGAAAAACTATTACCAGTTGATAATATTTTATTTCCATATGATATAGATTTTAAGAAACCTCACTTTTCAAGGTACAGCGTTTTTGAAGATGATATAGCTGCTTTCAAAGATGAATCTTCGCCTAATTTACTTTCAACAGCAGCTAGTAGTCTAAGCTCTTTAACCATCGATGATGATGATTATAATTATAATATAAAACCGATTAAAGCTGGACTAGTTAAATCTAAACCAAATATTATAAATTTAACGCAAATGGAAAAAGTAACTGTACAAAAACAATGGCGTAAAGATCCAATTGGTAGTGTGATAGTTGATAGTAATCAAACTAATCAAAAAGGGATAAATAATTTCTCAACACATTCTTTTAATAAATACGAAAACACTAATGAGAAATTGCATACATGTTCATTTGAAAACTCATGTGAATGTCAGATGGTGCATAAAAAAAAAATTATTACGTCAGAGTGTAATATGAAAAGATCTAATTTTAATATAATTACTAATCGATATCCAAAGAATGTTCAAATTATACATAATGAAGAAGATGATAGTACAGAGGGAACTGATTTTAAAACTGAACTACATATCGAACACACAAGAACTAATGTTAAGAATATTTGTCAAGATAATGAAATATTTGTAAACTATGGTGAAGCTGAATTAGATGTTTGTAATAAATATTTTAATAGTAATGGATCTAAAGGATATGATGTACGAGAGTGTTCACATGAAAATAGACTGTTGTACGAACCCTATAGATATAACAGTAAACTTAATTATGCAACTGATGAAACCAAGGAATTTATTGCTTATGAAGAACAATTACTTGATCATTGTATTCGAAGAGGAATGGCAAAAGTTACCAAACGAAATATATGTGATATTAAACCATTTTGTTGGGACATAAATCAAATCTGCCTTACGACTAAAGCTATGCTCAAAACCCACGACGAAAATATTATAAAAGAAAGACAAGAAGACAGAGGTAAACAACACATATTACAAAGAGGATTCATAAGGCATATAGTAAATTCATAAACTAAAGAATTCAATATATATTTTCTACAAGACTGTTTTGTCACAGTTCCTATATCTTACAATCATAAGTTTATTATTATTATTATTGTATAATTTTGCACAAATTATTTTTAAATAATTATATTTGGAATTTACATAATTCATAATATAAAAACATTTCAATTAAATGTTCAGCTTTTATATTTAGTTCAGCAATTATTTTTATACATACCATTGAATAATAAGATTCATAAGTAAATAAGAATTTAAAGTGCCAAAATGTAGTATTAAGACTGTTATAAAACTTTTCATTCGTTTTCTTTTTTTTTAAATTTATGAGAAACTAACCTTCGTATAAATATTCATTGAAACTCTCTAAGTTTTTAATATCACATTCAATTTGTATTAATTAATAAAAGCTTATATATTATAATATGAAATAAAACTATACATTTTATATATATTTATATAAAGTTTTTATATTTCTATAACGATTTAACGATAATATAATTTTAATTCTTTAATTATACTTCAATTATTAGATTTACATACTCAATAATTGTTTTGGTCTCGTCTTCATGTAATATGGTTTTTTTTTTATTGCTATATTCACATTTAACTATTATGAAGTAGCATAGGAAAAGAATATCTACAGTTATTTTATACGCAATTATTATTGGAATATGTGTATAATTAATTGTCTTTGATTCTCTACTATTATAATTTGTCATTGTTGAGGTAACGATCGATAAACCAACAGTCTCTTGCAATTCTTACAATCCAATCAGTAATCTATGAATAGTTTTATACAATTATAAGTTTACTTAATAAATAATTATTATAATAATTAAGAAAAAGTTAGTATAAAATACCCAAACAAAATATTGTAATACTTACGATAGTAATAGTAACAACTTGCATTATGTTGTGTCATTATAAGATTGAATGAAATTTTTGCCGAATGAAACAGCACACATTATGTAAGCATTATGATTAGTGTATTTTAAACAACTTATAAAAAGTCTATTCAAAACCAAACGTAAGTTATTGGTATAACATTCATTAATTGAACCCTTAGATGGAGTAACTCTATTAATAACTGTCATATTGGTATGAATAATATCACAAATTTATGTACTGAAAGTTCGAAAGCCAAAGAAGGAAATTAAAACATAAATTAATTGATAAATCCAAAGGTGTTCTGATATAGTGGGACTAGTCAAATAACATCCTGATGATGAGCATGAACCTTTATTTATAACTTTACATTACGATTTAAATATATCAGAATCTTAAACTTCATGTTGATTATCATTTAGCTGAGGTAAGCAAATGTAAAAATTGGATACCATTTTTTAAACATGCAGCATGATATGCAGGTATTGTAATTGCTAAAAAATTGCGATAATGGTTAAAAAAATAATAAAAATATACAGCCGGCTTAGATTATTATTTATGGAATACTGTTTTGATGACTCTTAAATAGAGGTAAAAAAATAATAATATATTACAATTACCTACTAGTGGTAATATCACACTATATATCCTCCGATTGTTTCTCTAGATTTCCCAATTGTAAAATTATTTCTTTTGAATTATTTAATTAATTATTTATAATTGAATGATTAATCAATTCATTACAGATTCGCTATAAAAGTTACCCCTTTGGGGTAAAAACAAAAAAAATTTTGTTTTCAGCTACATAACAATCCAATTGATCCCAACTATTAATTATATTTATATCATATTTACAAATTATATTTTCTGATAAACCTTAATACTTTTGATATAAAAAGTTGGATATAAGTTCGTATTTGGATATTTCTGTTGACAAACTTGTATTGTATTGCATATACCATTATTACATTTAGTTAGATGAAAATAGTTATTATAAAATATTTCAGCAAAATTTTATAATAAATATACACAATATTCCATAGACTGCTATCATGAAGCATGTAATAAGTTATGTTGAAAAAATAATTAACCAAATTTTATTTGTACAATATCTTAATTTTCAAACGACTTTTCCATAATGGATTATTTTTCATTCGTAAGTTTTGTTTTTGATGAAAATGTACCTATATTTAGAATTGATAAATCATTAAAACAATTATTGAAATAATATAATTTATAATACCTATTTAACGATAATTACCATAAGTATCGCTGGTATTCTTAATAAATATATATTCAACAATTAGTAATTTAATCCGTTATTTATCCTAATGGAATTATAATTAAAAAAATGAGTGAAAATTCAAACATGGAATTGCTGTATATTAAAAAACAATTATAAATACATATTAAATTGAATAAAGAATTTGAATTATATATTTAATGTAACTGTTTTTAAGGAACTATTATTCATCATTCAGAAAAATGCCATATTTGTAAATTGTATAATATGGAACATAATGAATGTTACCAAAGTTTATATATAATCAAATTGATGTTTAAAATAAAGATTAGAATATTTCAATATGAATATCAACAACTTAAATACAATGAAAATTACCCAATAAATTAGAAATTATAGAATAGATAAGTGAGAATGGTAAAATAATTTATTTATTTCGCATCGTTTACAGCGCACTTTAATGTTTAGACAAAATTCGGAAATCAAAATTTAACGATACAAAATAAAAAATTTTAACGTAATTTGTTTCTATGCATAAGCATATGCAAAAATTTACATTTGACAATAATAGAATAGTAGCCTTTGCAATCGTGACGCGCTATTGCTGTAACGAATGCGTGGGCACATTTCGCCTATGTCGAATCAATATCAAAAGCTTATTGGCTTTCATGAAGGCGCGCGATTTGAACGAATCAATTTTTTATAAATATCAATAACAAATGAATATTACGTTTTCAGAAAATATATATTATCATCGTTATTAAACTGATTAAAATGTGAAATATTTTATTGAAAAAATAATAAGATTTATATTAATATTGTATATTAATAACAACAATCAAATGGCATAATATTTTTTTTCGAATGATCGACTTCGTTAACTAATAGAATTTTTACATTTTTGTTCACAATATTAGAATTAAATCTGTTAATTAATTATCTGTTATGTCATGATATCACACATTAGTGTGATAAAATTAATAGATTGATAGATTCCGAGAATCTCTCGAATGTTATCATTTCTGGAAAAACCTCAACGGTTATCATTTCGGGGAAAACCTCAATGGTTAACATTTCGAGGAAAAACTTCAACAGTCATAATTTCTAGGAAAGCCTCCAAAGGTTGGAAAAGCCGTTACATCCGAAATGATACAAGTACACAATCACTCCCATTGTCTTTCGCACCACAATCGCATCCATTGTTTCTAGCACCATGATCGGCTCCTTTGTTGTTAGCTAACAAAGACTATTTAAGATAAGCGTACCAGAAGGCGAAGACGCGTCAACAATTCAGATGTGCTGCAATAAAAGGATTTGACACTATCTCTTTCATACGAAACATTTCAACATCCTCACGGAACATTCGGGATAGCGAAATAATCCAGTATCCACACGGCGGATTCGGGATGGTGAAACAAATCATCCACACGGTGCATCCGGAATGGCGACATAAATCATCCACACGGTGCATCCGGAATGGCGACATCAATCATCCACACGGAGTATTCGGGATGGTAAAACAAAACATATACACGGAGCATTCGGGATGGTGAAACAAATCATTCACATGTATCACTCGGTATGGTGAACTATTCGTCACAGAACAGGTCAAGTTTACTGTATCTCTGTGAGTAAACCAAGTCTACGGTATAAATCATTGCTAATCCTTACGAGATTAGCATAATACTATTATTAATATAGCACAACCATACTCACTAATAAGAGTGTACATAATCAGTTGCTGATTATTACAAGATCAACAACAACATCGGGTAGGTAAACTATTCACTACAGAATTAGTTCAAGCAATTGAATCTTCGCGACTGAACATAGGATGCACCTTTCCATCGCATAAAGCCAACACATCAATAATGTAATTGTAAATAAACTATAATAAACCATATTTATCGAAGAAGCACCCACTATATTTCTACAACCCTTCCACTTGACTCCTTCTCAAGCATTTGCTCGGGCAAGCGACGATTATTATAAAGCGATCGAAAAATTGGCAGTTCGAGCCAGGAAATCAAAAAGTTTCGAACATAAATATTGTTCATAAATGATAATTATAAAATTCAATAAGTTTATATATTTGCATTGAATATTTCAAACTGTTCTTTCAAAATATAGAAATAGATTATTTTATATTTTATTTTATAATATGCTTAATTAAACAATAATAATAATAATAAAATATTTCTTGATAATATATCAAATGTCCATAGGATTTATTACAATTTATGAATTCGTTGATTTATTGATATTCCTCAAGTTATGAGCATAAGTAAGCTTTGATCTTTATAATTTATACGAGAATGGCCATTCGATATAAAATACCAGTTACGATATAAATTATGTTTTAAATTAAAGTATGTCAGACTTTAAAGGTGAAGACATTAAAGTCAAAAATTGAATAATGGTCGTAAGCTACACTATGAGACATGCTTTATGATAATAACTTTCTTCTTAATTTTTAGAATTGCCTAAATACATTTATTAAATATAATCATATCCCAATATTGTACAATATCTTATTTATTTCGTGTATAGTAGTTAATAAAATATTTAATTTGAGTTGTATTAAATACTACGTTAAAAGATAATAGAGAATATTTGAAGGTTTTTCGAAACACATTCAAATATATGTACTCAATTTTATTATATTTAATAACAAGTAATAATTATATTAGTTATATTAATAATGAAAATGATTACATAAAATAAAATTGTATTTAATTGTCTATTTGTTTTTAATTAATTATCTTATTAATCTTAAGCCAATAATTGGATAAATAATAAATGCTTCCATGCAATCACTTGATCCAAGCTTCAAAGTTCGATGTATTAATCCATTTAGTTTAATTAATTTTTTTATACAGTTATAAGCCATTAAAATATGAAAAGTATAAGAATTGTAAATTTTTAAAATTACAAATGAATATTATTCATATAAGAAAAATTTATATAAATCCATGTTTTTCTTAAAAAATAAAACGATTATCGTTTATTCATTTTTATTTTTGTTTGTTATTTAATTATAATAACATAATAACGATCACTTTATATTTAAAATTAAAATTAATATTCATAGTATAAAACTGTATTATATTTCGTTTTTACGTTAATTTAAATAATATTTCATATTAATGAACTTAAAAAATTTCACTTTATATAGATCTACGTTTACGAGGAAAAATTAATTTACTAAATACTCAATGAAGAATATTTTAGAAAGGAATAATAATTGAATCGATGAATGACGAGATAACTTATTTCACTATAGCTTTATATAAATGATAATGTTTTTTAATATTAAAATTAAAATTGTCGTAACATACGATAATAATACATTTTTGTTAATATTAATTATTTCAAAATTAATTTTATTCCATTAGATTTCAGTTTTCATTTATATTTATATAAGAACTTTTGTATACGTAAACATAATAATGACAATAATTTATTTTATATTAATATGTTTAACTTCTCATTACATTTTTATCAATGCATACTTATAAAGTATTACTTAAAATTTAAATAGAAATCATTTTTTTTTATATATATGTTTTTGCGTAATATTGATTGCATGATATTGATTTTATTCGTGATTGATTTTATTTTGCAGAACGATTGTGATTATTATTCTGTAAATTATATTTCACATTTGTTGAATTGAAATAGATAAAATTAATTTCTCCGTGGATATCTACATCATTCAAAATAAGTAAAATGAATACATGAAAATATCTGTTAAAAAGGTTAAATTATATATTTTTTAAATGTGTAAATTTAATATGTATAAATTTAATAACGTAATATAATTAATTTTGATAAAAACAACATTTTTAAGAATTCAATTATATTTTATCTCGTTCATTTATGTTTCTGTAATTGTCGGTCGTAAATAATTTTATGCAATTTTCTATAATATACGGTTTGTATAAAAATTTTACAATTAATATAAAAAATATTTAAATAAATATTTAAAATATTTAAAAAATAAATTCTTGAAATATTTTGAATAATTAACGAAGAAAAGGATTGAAAACCTATTTCATAATATTTTTATTAAATAACTCTTAATTGATTTAGCTCTTCAATCGTCATATGTTTCATTGTAATTGTTTAGAAATGAATTATAACAATATTTTCAATTTAATTAATTTAAAAGTAACGATACAATTTTTATTATTGAAGAATAATTTGTTTGAAAATGATTTTAACCCAATTTCCTAATTTTATTAAAATCATAGAAAAATTTACTCTTATAAATAATCATTAAATGTAACATCGTTTTAAGAATTAGCTATTTTTTATCTTATACAGTACTATTAATTATGAATATACAAATGAAGGATCTTTATCCCTTTTTTTTATAAATTAAATAAATAAGCAATTACATTTTTTATTTATATCATATAAGAACAAGACTCCCGCAAGTATGCAGACTATAATAATAATAAACTTCTACGTCATTTTAGAAGGAAACATTTTTTCCCAAGATTATAATTCTATTTAGTTGAGCATTTACCATAGAATTAAGATAATTAACACAGCTTAATATTTGCTTAGCCTTGACAACCGAAGATGAAGCTCTTTTAAACAGACTGAAAACATTGAAACATTGGCGTAGAAATATAATGTCATTTATTATAGAGGTAAAGTAATTGTCAATAATTGAACGCTCGGCACTCGCCAGTATGATACTACAATATCTGCCTGGCCCCAACGGCTTGTTGCGTTTATTTTTCGTCCACGAGCGATTGTTCAGGCACTCCCTGCTTCTGTAATCACGTAGTGGCATGTAGCTGCAGCACTGCACCTGTATAGTCCGCAGTCTTCTTTCTCTGTGCCCCTCTACCTGCAGCACCTCATCCGTCTCAACTTTCCTTTAGTTCTCTTCACGTCTTTGGGCGCATATGCACGCTACGCACAACGTATTCATACAGTTTTGTAACAACCTACTTATATTCGTATATTTGGTGTCTGCCATGGGTAGCTCTCGAATCCGCATTAAATTATTAGTCACGTAGTTAGTAGCCTCCGCGAATCGCATCGCAGACGCTACAGGCTACAGACGAACTTTTACAAGAGGCATTGAACGGACAGACATAAATATCGGTATACAACCAATGGAAGGGAAGTACGGTAAGTGAATCACGAGAATGGGAAACTGTCTTCTGCATGATTTTATTATAGAGTGATCTTAATTTTTCCTTTTTTTTTTCTTTTTTTTTATTCAGTCTCTTCTGTAGTTTCTTTAAGAATTTTCTTCTTTAAATATTCAGTTGCCACTTCCCTCCCCAATACCTCTCTCTCTCTCTCTCTCTCTCTCTCTCTCTCTCTCTCTCTCTCTTTTATATAAACACATGAACATACGCGCAGAAATAGGCGCTGGCGCGCATGTATGTACACACTGCGCATACTCCCCCTTCTCCTGCCGTTATCCCGTAGTCAAGCTCCCTCTCTTTCTAATAATCACATCACACTGTTTTCAACAGTTTCGACTGCTACAGCTGCTGCGTGTAACCATTTGTCACTTGTTTCGGTATGTTTACATCGTTTTTTCATATAACTATCTACACGTGGATACATATGAATTGTTTATTTTCCATTTTAAAGTACGAAAAATAGGTCCGGCCATATTTTTATCCATATATTTCAAAATATTTATGTTTTATATTAATACATAATATCTCACTTTATATAAAAATGATGTCGAATCATTGGAACAGAAAAATAACTCGTTCAATAGTTTATTTATATCTCTGTTAATGTCATGTAACGTTAATATCGCGTGTAATTGGTATTATGCGCTTTAACGAGGCTAGTTTGAAATTTACATTTGAATCCAACAACTTAAATTCATATTAATTCATATTAATTCTATTAAGAAATTATTTTTATATTTTGGAATATTTTTACTAAAAAAATCTTTTATTATATATTATGTAAGACTGTAAAAGATTATACTATTTTTTAAACATTAGAAATTTATTTTTGAATACAGTCGAATATCATTATAAGTACAGCCATATTAATTATATCGCTTTTGGCTATTTATACAAAATTTTATTTCTTGAATTAAATGCGAATATTATTGATGTGACTGCTTGACAAGTTAATATAATATAATCGTACCCACTGTGCAATGGAAAGGATAATGTTTTTTCTACAAAGTTATAAGCTATTATTATTGTACAGAATTATTTGTTAGTCCAAAAAAAAAAAAAACAAAAAGAGAGTGATACAATATTAAACAAAATTGTGTATTTAAATATATACATAGCGAAATAAGAATAGCAAAATATTTACTTGTTTAATTGAAGTAATCTATATTTTGTATTAATATACTATATTTACAAAGAGCCATTTAATTATAGGCAAATTATAAACTGCAATGTAGTTTCGAATAAATTAAAATTTTGAATATTTATCGTCTAATTAATCGATCGAAATTTTATCAGTTCTTAAAAAAAAAACAACCAATGGCAATTATGACTACAATTTAGTAAAAAATTGCTGAAAAGTTATAATTGATCGATACAATTTTTATAATTACATTATTTGTATGAGGACATTGTTACATTAATCGTTACTATATTTTTTAGAACACAATTTTATATAAAATAATTTGTTAACACTACATTTTAGTAAATTTCGTATTTGGTAAAAATCTTATACGAAAACAAAATATATTAAAAAATATTTTTAAAAAATACCAAAATATGTGTTCGATTCAATTTTGATTATACAGTAAAAATAAATGCAATTATGATTGTTTATTTTATTATTGTGCCTGTTTTATATAAAAAACGCATTTTTTAAGGATTAAAAATTATATTTAGGTAAATATATTTTTTACTCATTATTATGTTTTAATAAAACCTTATATATCTGAATATATCTTTACTTTTTAAGAATAATAAATATTTTGAATTTTGATTTTTGAAAATAATTTATATTACTGCCATAAAATATAATGAGTTATTTAATTTTTTTTTTTAACGAATCAAGAATATACTATTTTATATATTATTATCGTATGCAGTGTAATAGTTCTACGGTATCAATTTGAACATCTTAAATGATATAATTGCAAATTGTCTTAATCTCTGTATATGTCTTAGCATGATTTAATATATGCTTCATAATTTTCTCAATTTGATTCTTAAAAAATTTCATAATATTGCAAGATGAATTATTTCATCATCCGTGCAGTCTATTAAGCAAATAGAATCCAAAATGAATCTATTGATAGTATTTCAGTTTTTGTTAGAATTTATATACAATAAATTTACATAGTACAAAGTAAAAGATAATTAATATATTTCTTTTAACAATTTGATTAAATCTTTATTTTATTATTAAATAATTATAATTAGTTAACGCAAAGCAATTGAAAAAAACATTTATCATTATTGTCTTTCAAATAACATCGAATATTAAACGAAAAGCACATAATCAAATGTTTCGTTATATCACATGCTAACATAGTCTTGTAAAATTTTTAAATTTTTACTATTTATCATCATTATCATATGGATATTTTATTTGATTGTATTTGATTAAAATTTATTTTTACTATTTAACATTTATAATCATGTTATAAATTCTTGTAAATAAAGGCTGTTCAAATATACATTTTTTATTTCGTAAATATTATAAGCAAATGCTTTCTTGCTGTAAAACTGTATTACATTTGTATTATCGCCTACAATTTAAGGAAAAATTTTGTTCAACCATTTGAAGCATTACGATTTTTTTTTCTTACAGCAGATTATAATGATTCATATAAGTTATCTGAGTTAATATTAAACAATTGTATATTAACGAAGCTAGAGGACGATCAAGTTGGTAGACTCATTTATGTCGGTGTTAAGTTACTTACTGCAATGTGCTGTATTATGTCTTCGTTTTATTCGAAATAGTTCATCGTTCGTGTACATTCTCACACACCCAGTACTGTTTAAATTTGATGATGAAATAGTAATTCGTGACAAATCAGGTTTAACAATTGTATCTATATCTACGATGCTGGTATAACTACTATTATAGCTGTCATTATAGCTATAGAAATATTTTTCTTTTATCTCATCTAAACAATTTTTTGATAATATTCATACAAACATTGAACAAAAAAAAATATTTAGACAATTGTTTCACAGTGAGAAAAGCAAGCTCTTATATCTTTATACATATATATATATATATATATATATATATATATATATGTTGAAAAGATATATCTATTTTAAAAATGCAAAGATTGTTTTATATAAGAAATTTTTTTTAGTACTAACTAGTAGTAACTGGAAACCTTAAATGAATGTTTTCAATGATTATATTTATTATATATATGTGTGTGTGTGCGCGCGCGCGTGTGTGTGTCAAAACATATTAGTAAAACATTTGAAAATCCGTAATCGAAGATTTTCAATATTTATTTATTATCAATGATGTAAAACTTCTGTTCTAATCTCTTTTCTGATTAAAGAATATACTTAATTTTCTCTTTTCTTAATTCAAGATTGGATATATTACTGCAATAGTTCAGCAAATCAAAAAATGTAAGAACTGACGCATTGACAGATATTTAAATAGGCAAGTTTAAATATTAACTCATTTGTATTTATTTTTTCAAAAAGTACTTAATTTTTCAAAGTAATGCAACTCAAAATTCTAATGTTTTATATTATATGTTTTTAATCATTAATTATTGATATCATATAATTCCAATTTAGTTTTATTACTTTATAAATAATTTTAATAAAAAGTTTTGATTACATATTATTTTCGTTTAATTTCATTTACAAGATTTTTAATTATTTAATTTAACTAATAACTAAAGATTTTAACATTGTCAAATAAATTTTTTTTTTATTATGTAATAAAGGATCGGTATTTAAATATTAATTCAACTTTATTATTAAAGTTTCGTACCAATATAGATAATAATTGAAACAATGTTTAAAATTAAAGAAAGATCTTGACCTACACCTGAAGTTAATTTTTCTAAGTTTTTTATATAAAACTAAACTCTTTTTAATAAAATAATTCATCACATGTTAAATGTCTTTTAATTTTTGGTTAGATTAATGTTTTTATTTATAATCTTCTTCTATCGTTATATATAATTAATATTTTATTAATATAAATAATACTTGTACATTATTTTTTGTAAATTATTTGATAAATATGTCAACATGTTTTAGGAGCATGTTTTTAATTATTGGAAATTATTATAGTCCAAATTAATTATATTCCATTTATTTATAAAATTTTATGTAATCACCATTTCATAAAAGTTCGCATTAACATTAATTACTTTTTACGATTTCGTTTAGTAATAATCAATACTACCAATAACCAAGATTTATTTAGAAATTTGAACAAACTATGATATTTTAAATATAGTGACATAAAAATCGTGAAATTTTTAATTAATTTTCTAATTTTTCATATTAACTATTTTAAATGTTGTAACAATATTATTCAAATTTATATTCCTTCAAAATTTATTAAATTATTTGTAATTAATAAGTAAATGTAAAAATTGAAGGCCGGATAAAATTATAAACTTAAATATAAATAAATTACCAAAGGCGTTCGTTAAGTTTATGTAAAATTAAAATAAATTTTGATAACTTTGTACTTTATATTTATTTGTTAAATTTTAACAAATAACATATGTAAATAGCGACAATAATTTATTCAATAAATTATATTACAGATATAATATGAATAATTAGATAATAAATTTTTTATTTTCTATTCAATGTTTAAAAAATATTGTTGCACAATTTGATAATATACATTTAATATTTGTTTCTCATTGTGTATTTATGGATAATTATTTATAAACTTATAGTAATACTCTTAATAAAATACCCTTATAGTAATATTGTAAATATATTGTTGAAGGATTAAATTGCATTTGCAGTAAATGTTTGCAATATTGGTAATTCTTTGCTTATTGTGAAATTTTCTTTTAAAAATTCGTGTAAAATGAATGTTTATTATTATTAATAAACAACACTTTAAATTGGGAAAAATGAAAAAATTGTAAATTTTCGCATATTAATTGACAATCATAAATATTGTTTGGAACTTATGTACTTTTATTCGTAGTAATTTATACTATTCTTCTTTGATTTATCATTCTTTCATTTTAAATTTACTATGTAAACATATTTCGTGAAATTCATAGATATCTTATAAAATGTATAAGTAAATTTATTTTGTTTATTTTTAGGAGAAACAATGAATTATGATTCGTCGTGGGCAGGACCATTACATAAACGTTCATGTACAGATTGTTTTTGGCTTATTATTTTTGTAATATTTTTATCTGGTTGGAGCTCAATAGCCTATTATGGTAATAATAAAGTAGTTTTTAATCATTTAAATTTTTCTAATAAAATTATATTAAAAATTATTAAACACGTCAATTAAAAGTGTGTGTGTCTAAATATAACAAAATAATAATAAAATAAATTTCAGTATTCTCTATTAAATACTGTTCGCAAGGTTTATTACTGATAAAGCTATATAAACTAGAAACTAGATAGTAAAATATGTATATTTATTATATATTGTTCTTTAGCTTTAAAAAATGGAAACATTGAAAAACTTATTCATCCAAGTGACAGTGAAGGACGAAAATGTGGTATTGACTCACAAGTAAAAGATAAGCCATATTTAATTTTTTTTGATTTAACAAAATGTGCTAGAATTTCTCCGGAATATCGTACGTGCCCTACGACACAAGTTTGTGTAAAAGAATGTCCTCAAAAAAATTTTCTTTACGACGACATTAAAAATATCGGCATCAATCAATTAAAGTCTCAATTGATTTGCAAAACTGACGTAAAGTTGGATAAAGTTACTCGACTTCAAGAAATAAAAATTTTAGTGAATCATGAAAAATGTGCTAGATGGTATTTGGAAAGTACGTCAATTTTCCGTCGATGCTTTCCGAAAAAAGTTTGGAACGAATTTGTTAATGCCACAATTACACAACCACAATTAAAAAATGCCAAAGAAGTCGTTGTAGCTGTTGCTTCTATAGAGGATGTTTTACAAAAAGTTTATCAAGATATTAATGTGACTAAGTGAGTTACTGTAAATTTGAAAAAATATTAAAAAAAAAAAAAAATATATATATATATATATATATATAACATTTACTTACAATAATATAGCATTACATATTTGAAGTATTTTTCTGACAAGTTTCAAAATTTAACAAAATTGTGTTTAAAAAAATTTGTGAGTTAATAAAACAAATTAAATAATATTTCAATCATAAAATTTAAAAAAGAGAAATTTATTTCAAGTTTGTTCAGAATTTTTATAATTTTTATTATTATACATACATTTTTTAATTTCATTTATTTTTAAAGTAATTATTTAATCGTTCTAGATATAATACACACATAAAAAAAATATATATATATATATATATTCGTATTATTATTGATAATTTTGAACCAAAAGTTTTGTAAAAACAAGTATAGAATTTAACTTTCTTAATTGAAAAGTTTACACTAAGGTATATTTACTAATGCAGTTTTAATCGATAACAGTCGATAATAATGTGTAAGATATTCATTATTAAAAATTCAACAAAATCTTTAAAATAATTGTTTAAAACATTAAATACTAAAATAAACTTTCATACAAACAAATAAACTATGCTTACAAAAATTCAATATTTTTAACGTTTTTTTAAATAATATTTTTGCATTTTAAATAACGAAAATCCATATGTACTTATAAATTCACTACCATATATATTTAATTTTATCAAAATTTAAACTAATTTTAATACTTTTATAAATAAGATATATATATATATATATATATCAATATTATATAATATAACAATTAATGTTTAATTAATTAATATATTTTATGCAAATAAGTATAAAGAATTTTATAAAAATTGATTTAACTTCGTATAAAAAATATTTTTTGAAAAACATTAATTTAAACGTTCAAATCTTAGTTTAGTGAGGTGTCTATACATATAAAATTTTTAGCATCGTTACTTGTTATGATTATATTTTATAGATACACAGTACTTGGAATTGCCATAACTAGTGGATTTGTGTCTCTTTTCTATATTGTTATTTTGAGATGGTTAGCAACCCCGTGTGTATGGATGACAATATTGGCCATTTGTGGACTGTTAGGTTATGCCATTTATGAGACAAGTATAATTTACTTAAGAAATCGATATGTAGAATGGCTAGTTCTTCTCATATTATGCGCAATCTTTTTATCTTTGATTGTATTAGTGACGTTGTTTCTGCGCAAAAGAATTTATTTGGCATGCCAACTTATCAAAGAATCCAGCAAGTAAGTTAATGTAATAATAATATATAGAAAAATATTTTAAGTATTTGACATGTATTGATAATGAGGTTTGTTTACTATATTAATATTGAATATTTTTACGATACTAATATTAAATTTGTTGTTGTTGATGGCAGCGATTTAATAACATTTTTGAAGATACAGATAAAACGATTATATTTTATAATATTTTAATTTATTAAATTTTTAACCGAGATAACGGATTTTATATTATTTTACTCAGCACTCAAAACATGTATTTATATATCAATTTCTATTATCAATTATTTATATTTGCTTTAGATTTTATTTGAAAATCTTTCTTTTATCAGTTGTTAAATTAAAAGTAATTAGCATTAAGCATTATATATTCTACTATAAGAGTTTTTTGTATTGTATTGTGTATTATATATTATATTTTTTATATATTATATATTGTACTATAAAAGCTATAAAATAAATGACAGTTATTTAATTCATCTATCTTTTATGAATAATATATATTTTATTTTAAACTTTTTATATTTATTTATCATAACATTTCAATTTATTTTTATATAATACGCAATACAATGTATAATGTAATATTTATTTTTGTTTATTCTGTTTTTGAATATTTATTTATTTTTCTTGTATTTGTGAATGCATTAAAAACATTTACTGCTCAAAGAGTAAGGATAAAAAAAAAGTGTATTAGTTTTGTATATATTATAATATTGATTTTATTTTATTTGTAAGTATGAATATCATATGTGATAGAATTAATTTGAGATATTATACATAATTTATGTGGAGTTAGCATTTCTGTTGATTGTAGCTAATAAATGTGCTTGATATAGTTTTTCTTATTTTAATGTCACTATAATATATTTACTAATGAGCAGACAAATTAATTTAGATGAATTTTAAATTGTACTTTGTAATGTTTTTGTTGATTTTACTTTAATTGTTTTATTTTTGAGTCTATAAAATAAATTCAATTCATTTATTTCTGAATGTTTAATATTTTAATTTACATAATTATAGAACATACTTACTTATATAAAATAAATATTCTGGTATTTTTAGCCTATTAAAATAATTTACCATTTCTTTGATTTCTAATATTTAATTTGTGAAAAATTTTTGTATTATAATTAATTAAAAAAAAAAAGTATTTTCATTTTAATTAAGCTAATATACATTTAAAGACATATCTGCTCATTATTACAGCTTCGATAAGAAGTATTTTTATTAATTTTAATACATAATTAAATTTTAACTTATATATTTAATTTTAACTTAATAAATTTTTTTTTTAACACCATGTGGATTATAAATTGTTTTATTACATATGCAGATACAATGTTTAAATTTATTTTATATGTCCAAATATTATATTATCAATTATTAAATAATCATTGATTTATTGTTAATATGTATTCATTATATTATAACTGTAATATAATAATTGATAATTGGTTATTTACATTATAAATATTATATGTTTTCAGAGCTGTGACATGTATTCTATCAAGTTTATTTTTTCCAATAATACCATGGATACTCCATTTATTGGTTTTAACATATGGAATAACAATATTCTTATTTCTTTTAACAATATGGAAACCGAACTATCGAGTCGAAATGATGGACGATGATCAATGTTTATGTGAACCCTCTTTAAATTATTATACTAATTCAGTATGTGATCCAGATGAATTCAATTCTAAATGTAGACAGTTATCTGGAGAACCTTGTACCTTATCAGCCTGTAATTTGATTAGCAAAGATAGACCATGGTTTATCAAGTACTTTCATGCTGTTAATGTTGTTGGATTATATTGGCTATTTTTCTTTGTTTCGGCATTTGGAGAAATGGTATTAGCAGCAACCTTTGCTACATGGTATTGGACATTCAAGAAAAGAGATATACCTTACTTTACAATTACTGTTGGTTTCTGGAGAACCATAAGGTTTGTTAAAAAAAAATTAAATCATCAAACATTATACATTTAAATGCATATATATCAATTTAGATATCATTTGGGAACATTGGCATTTGGTGCCCTTATTTTAACCATCTGCCGAATTATTCGGCTTTTATTAGAAATGATACTGAAAAAAGCCAATAATAAATTTGCTGATGCAATAAGATGTTGTTGCAGATGTTTTTTCTATTTATTAGAAAATTTTTTGAAATTTATAAATAATAATGCATACATCATGTGTGCTGTACATGGTAAAGGTTTTTGTCATTCCGCTAGAGATGCATTTAATCTACTTATGCGAAATGTTGTACGAGTTGTAATTATAAACAAGGTTAGTTTTCTAAACATATTTTAAAATAATTTTTTAATTTAATTTTTTAATCTTCAGATTACAAGTTGGCTTTTATTATTGGGTAAACTTTTAATCAGTGGATTAACCGTGGCTGCTACTTGGTGGTATTACGCTAATAATGGCAAGGCTGACGTTAATTTTTGGGCAGTACCTGCTACAATGACTGCAATTGCCTCTTTCTTAATAGCTACCGTGTTTTTCAAAGTACACGCAGCAGCTATCGATACACTTTTTCTTTGTTTTCTCGAAGACTGCGAGAGGAATGATGGTTCTAAAGAAAGACCGTATTATATGAGTAAAAGACTGAAAAAATTGTTGTATAAGTGATGTTTATACTATCTAAAGCAATATCATTTTTATATTTATATATTTTTATACAAACTTGAGGCTGTTCTTTAAAACATATGTACCTATTATTATAATGTTATGTGTTATTATATATCGTTCATTGAAAATGTTAAAGTTTATAAATTTCATATTTCATATTTGACAGTATGATGTCATATGATTCGTAGTTACTTAAATACAAATATTTTAATCAAATGTATTTAAAATTTTGTAATGTACAAATTTTACATTTGGAAATATATGAATATATATGCTTTGTAATATATTTTAATAGATTTTCCGTATGAATAAATAAATCTGAAAATAGAAAATTTAATATTTCCAAAATTAATAATTTTATAGATCAATGGGTGTCAATCGAATTTTAATTTTTTTAACATTTAATTTTATGTATTAATTTTCTTTTAAATTATGTAATTTTGGAAATATAGCTATATGTTTTTGGAAACATTCTTATAACTTTGTTTAATATTTTTATACATTTCATTAAATTTCTATCTGATATTTAAATAAATTAACGATTTGATGGAATGCAATGTGTACACTATAATATATAACCTGCACAATAAAAAAAAAAAAGTTTTCATATAGTTGCCACCGATCCACTAAGTTTTGTAAAATACATATTGGAGTTTTTTTATCTTATTTTAGTATTTTATATAATGAAGTTTGTTTACTATTCATTCTTTTATTACTGCAAATAAAATACGAAATCTTATTTTGATGAATTAGAATTTATATATACGATTGAAATAATAATAAATTATTTATATTATTATTGAAATATTAGTATTGACAAGTGTTATGCATTTAAATTTTGTTGATATTATTTAAGCAATATTATAATACAACATTTGCACAAATGCTAACTGGTTTGAATCTTATATATAATACTCTTTATTTTTCTTTTAAAATCATTATCTCAAACAATTAAATTCCTTTGTAAATAAATGTAATAGAACTATATTATTTTGAAATTTCTGATTAAAAGTCGTACGATCGATTTCAGTACACAATTATTAAAATTTTTATATTAGAATTTGATTTCATATTTAAACACAAAAATTATTTGTAGTAGAAGAAGAATACTGACAAAACTATTATTGCAGGTATAAATTGGCTTTAAAATTCGGTCTACTTTAAATAATTATTAAATTTGATTTGATCATTTTAAATTTCAATTTTTATAATTATTTCAGTAAATGACATAATTTTTTAAAATTTTATTATAATAAATTCATAAATTATTTCAAACTTCATTGCAAATTAAAAAATTAAGTTGCGATTCTAATGTATATATATTAGTTATTTGTATATTGCTATTTTTTTATAATTTAATATTCATTTATTATTGATTATTTAAAGGAATAATTAAATTAATTCATGAATTTCAATTTTAAGAAACTTAATAATATACATTATTTTAAAAGTAAATATTAGATTGTATTCTTTATATTTATAAATTTGACTATCTATAATGTATCAATATTACTACAATAATTCGTCAACAAGAAAATTGATCGATAGGAGTGTATTTACAATGAATATTATATTTTATTTAATGGAATTAAAATTTCAGTAGATAAATTGTTATCAGTAAAATATGATCGAATTTTAAATCATTTATATAAAATATTTCAAGATTTTTTATTTTCTACCATATTTTATATTTATTCATGTAGCTTATTAAATTTTTATATTATGCAAAATACTTAAAATTTATCACTTAAATATTTGCGAATAAACACGAATGAATAAATTGTTTTTATTACATTTTAAGGTATTTGATAATGAAAATAAGTTTTTAATTTCTTTAGATGTTTCAAACTAATTCAATGAAGATTTATAAAAATGTACTTTTTTAAATAATAATTTACATGATTGTTTTACAGAGCGCTTTATAATTAGGCTGCCACGAAAAATTGAAACAAAACTTTTTCTTATTCATAATCAATTTTTGTTTCTAATTAAAATTTAGATATCTTATACATATTATAAGTGTATTACAGAAAACAGATTTTAAAGTGCCTATTAAATAAAAAATCAGTTTGAAATTGTAATAGTATACTAAAAATAGTATAATAAAAATCTTTATTACATAAAAAACATAGAATTGAAGAGTAAGAAATTGAAAGTTAAAAATTAAATATTAAGCTAAGAAATTATCAAAAAATCAATTAAGCATAAATGGTTTTGAAGGTACTACACAACTTACATTTTTATAACAAATTGATAGTATAAAACTGCAAAAATTAATTGAATAGGTGGTGATGTTAGAAATCATAATTTATTAATTTAACAATATATTTAGAAGATATTTTTGATAAAATAATTAAATTAATAAAAATAAGTTACAATCAAGCTATTACATTTATTTTATAACTTTTTTAAGTGAGAAGCCATGTTTTTATATTCAGAAAATAGAAAATCTTAAATATTCTAATACTCTTAATTAAAACAAATAAAACAAATTAAATCGAAAGTTTAATTGAAATATAATTAATGAATATATTTTTTGAATTTATAATATAACATGAAAATACTTTAAATTATATTATTTTGAGTAATTTTATATAATATAATTTGTTTCGGAAAAATATCTAAGAAAAAAACTAATTTATTTTTTACTCTTATATTTTAAATTATCTGCTAGAATATGTTAGCATGTAAATTAAAATAATTACCACTTCTATATTATAATGCTGCCTTAAATATTTAATTTTTTTACTTTATTGTATATTATTTATAATATGATTTCAATTTTATTGGTAGCATTCTGAATGAAACCTCTAACACTTTTAATTATCAATATTTTCCGTAAATACTAAACAAAATTCGTATCGTTAAATCAATAATTTTAAATATCGTGCTTAACATTAAAACAACTTTGTTTATCTTTTTGTTAATTACTAAAAATGTATAAATAAAAAATTTAATAATGATAACAATACAATAAACTTTAAATTATCTTATTTCAGATATTTGGAAGAAGTCAATCAAATTTATATTTAGTTTTGAAACATAATAATTAAAACAATGTTTAATGAATAAAATTTATTTTAATCACTTCATAGACGAATTGATTTACGTATTTAATGCGAAAATATTAATATTTAAGCATATATTTAAAAATTTTAATTTAACATGAATTAAGCAATATATTTTTAATTAATACATTCTTTAAAAAATATGCCATAGTCAAGATAAATTAATTCTGGAACAATGTGTGCGTAAATTCTATGTAATCTAAAGCACCGGTGATGGGTCTTTCTGTTTTAGGATCAATATACGCTTTCATTCTTGCCACACAATAGTCTGCCATTTCCTTTGTAAGATTCTGTAATGATACAATGCAAAATATAATTTATATGAAACTGACGAAATTATGAATTAGAAAAATTGTTCAAAAGTCTTACAGCATATAATTCCTCTTTCGTGACATAAGGACGATCTGCAGCTGTGATAGCTCGGAAAGCATTTTCGATTTCCTGCGAACTTTGAACATTTTCGGTCTCTTTGCTAATCATGAAGGCCATATGATCTTGCAAAGACACGAATCCATCTCTGTTTGGATCAACAATATCTAAAAAATTGAATTGCATTATAAGAATAAAAAATTGAATATGCCAATAAAGGAACCACAATAATAAAAATAGTTATGCGTTGTCTGACCAAGAATATTTTCGAATTCTGGATCGGGTTGTCCTTCTTCCATCATAGGTAAATCATAGCCCAAAGCTCGTAGACAGGACTTGAACTCTTGATGGTTGAGACGTCCACTTTTATCTTTATCATAATGTTTGAACATCATTGAGAATTCTTTGAGAGCACCCTCTGAGACACCGGACTGGTTTCGTGCTTGAATTTGCTGCTCGAGGTTGTGTTGCATGCGCATACCTAGCTGATCGAGTTGATCCCACTGTTGAGCGAGGCCTACCGTACTGTGCTCCGTGTAGCGATTGTCAAGAATGAGGTGTTCCTCTAATATAGCGCCCAAGTCTTCAATTTTTTTTAGGTCCTGTCGGCGCGCTCGGACTTCTTGTGTCTTTCTTTTGGTGGCCTCAAGCTGTTGCTCAAGTGAACCTGAACCTTCCATCATAGAAGTTCGTGTATCTGCAAGCCACTGGTGGAAGGCGTTGGCATGTTTCGCAAATTCTTTACGTAATTTGTCGTTCTCTTCTTGACGTTGAGCCTCTTTTGCTAACTCGACATCACGTTCTTTGATAATCTTTTGTAAATTACGCCAAGTATCCTCAAGGGCTTCCATGGTAAACCAAGTGTACGGATTGGGACCAACATTGAAGCCTTTGATTTGTCGATCAAGGGCGCCCAGTGCCTGAAAGTCAGCTTCAGCTGATGAGAGGCTTGCCTGGAATTGGGCGTGCGCCTCCCGTAGGGCTCGAATTTCTTCGATGCTGTTACAACGTACTGGATCTGTAAGATCTTCTTCTGCATTTTCGAACCACGAATTAAAGGCTGACGCTTTTTTAGCAAACGTCAAATAAAGCTCCTCAATTTGACGAAACTGATCTTGCATTTGCAATAAACGTTGTTTGCGTGCTTGGGAATCTGCAAGAAGTTTCTGCCAGCGCGCAATTACGTCTGCGTGACGCTTACGAATTGCAGGACCTTGTTCGTGACCTGCTTCCAAAAGCATTTCTTTTAAAGCTGTGATATTTTGGATGCCCTCGTGCTCAAAGGCATGCAGACCAGCATCAAAAGTTTCCTGTTTCGTTATAAGAGTTTGAACACTAGATAGATCTCGACCAAATTCCTCTGAGCGTACATGCGTTTCTTTATCTGCGATCCATGACTCAACAACGTCCGCTTTCCACATAAATTGTAAATAAGCTGAATTATCGGCGAGCCGAGTTTTGCGCCTTGCAGCTAAAGTCCCAAGCTGATCAAGTCGTGTCGCTAGCTGCTGACCTCGTTGACTAATGGCTTCAGCACGATGATTACCTGCAGCTAATAGACCCTCGGCTGCGGCTCGCACTTCGCGGCAGCGCTCGCCATGTGCAGCCAAATCTGCCTCAAAGGCTTCATGCTTTTTCAAAAGACCTTGAACTGCAGCCATTGTGTCACCGTAATCTTCGAGAGATAGTAATTGTTGTTTCTCCGCGACCCACGCTTCTTCTTCTTCTACCTCCGCCAGGAATTGCTGATATGCGAGGGACTCATCGAGTCGTCGTCCACGAGTAGCTGCCAGCTGCTTGAGCTCGGCCCAGGCTTGACCAAGTAATTGAAGTCGTTGCTCGATTTCAGGAACACCAAGGTTCGAAACATCCATAAGTTTTTCACCAGCTTCTTGGACAGCTTGAATTGCAGGTTCGTGGCTTGCAAGCTCTGCCTCTAAGCGTTTATGTTTCTTTTTCAAGTTCTGTACACCTGTAAGATCACGTCCATAGTCGTCAGAACCAACTAGCAGTTTTTTTTCTTTTATCCAAGATTCTTCATCCGCAATGTCACGGAAAAATTGATGTAAAGTGTTGGCTTCGGCGAGTCGTGCACGACGATGAGCCGCGAGATTGCGAACACGTTCGTAACGCTCGTTTATACTACGTCGTCGCTCTTGGATACCCGATGCTTCAAATTGACCACTGTCAATAAGCGAATCAGCTTGAGCATTCATATCACGTATTCGTTCTTCATGGGCAGCGATATCTGCTTCAACAAGTTGCTGTTTTTTCATGAGATTTTGCACTGATGCGAGATCCTTACCAGCATCCTCAGAACTTAATAGGCTTTCCAGTTCACCAAGCCAGAAATCAAGGTCCTTAACAGCCGCTATGTAAGTGCGCTGTTTATTAGCCTCCTTTAGTTTCATTGATTTTTCGCTAGTCTTATGTGTCAAGTACTCCCATTGATCGGCAATTGACGCCAGGCGTCGTTGAACAGCTTCTTCTGAACCAGCACATTGATGTTTATCGATGAGATTACCGCCCATAGCGAGAACTGATTGAATGCGATCAGCATTAGCTGCAAGTTCGGCTTCAAACGCCTGGTGCTTTTGATGCTTTGATTGAATATTAGCTGGATCCTTATAACTCTCTTCGGTTGCAAGCTGCAATTTCTCAGCAATCCAGTTCTCCATCTCATCAGCATCGCGCGAAAATTGCTGCAGCGTTTGAGACTCACCAAGCCGTGAGCGCTTTTCAATGAGAGCCTCTTTTAAATGTCGCCAGCGTTCGAGAACTTGACAACGGCGTTCGTCAATAGGTCGGGCGGCATAGTGTTCAGCAGCGATCAATTGATCAGCCAGAGTTTGTAGGGCACCAATTTTCTCTTCGTGGCCATTAATAGCTTTATCAAAATCTTCGTGCTTCTTAATGAGAGCTTCAACATTATCGGGACCATCGCCCTCCAAGGCCTCAGCACCACTGGTACCAAGAAAGGCTTCTCGGGCTGACATCCAGTTTTCAGCTTGCTCACAATCACGACAGAAAAGTTGTAGCTCAAGATTCTGGTCGAGTTGCATGCGTCGCTGGATCCAAGCTTTTTCTAATTCTTGACGAGCTTCACTCATTGATTCGAGTTTTTCCTGAATTTCAACACTGGCATAATGGTTGGACTGAAGGAGTTGTTGTCCAAAAAGTTCAAAAGCCTGAAAGGTTCCAGTTCGCGCGTCAATTTCCATCCTGTGTTCCTAAAAAACAAAATTTATTAATATTTTTAATTTTTTTTATAATCATTTAAAAAAATAATATATTATTTACTTATTTGTTTAAAGCTCAATTTATTAATATTATTATGACAAATATTGATATAATTATTAAATTCTTATTTTAATCAATCGATCGATTGACAAGAATTTAAATATCTTTCCCTTTAATTGATCCAATTAATCGTATTTCAAGACTAATTTTATTTCTGTTCTATATTTTTGTCATTTATAAAAAAATTATATACCTCTGATATACATTTTATTTTAATAAAAAAAATAAAAACGTTTATACATTTGGTCCTTCGAGCCGGATAAGTGGAAATTAGTGCATTTCTTCAGTAATCACATGACAGAACAGACGTGCCACTACATACTCTGATCGTATACCATTAACACTCCAGTTCTATCATAAGGACACATCACTGTAACTATTCCACTCTTGTTTTTCTCTCATACTACATCATCACTAAGAAAATGCCAAACCATGAGAAAAAGGAATCAAGGAAGACCACAAAATCTCTAAAGTACCTATCGCACAAGAAGGTGAAGAACGCATTACCCACAGCGTCGCTACAGAAGGATTACCTACTGAACACATGTTGAAAACTCAAGGCCACTGGAATCGCATTTCAGCAATAAAGGAGCTAGCTGAAAAATTCCTGTCATCTCATTTGGATACATACATTCAAGAAGTCCAATGCGTAAAGGAACTGGTTGACGACCTATACAAGGCCGTTAACAAGGAGCACAGCTATGTTGAACAACATGGCCGGCTGCGTTTAAAAATCATAAATACTTCACGAAGAACGCGCTTGCAGAAGAACTTAAGTGTTACTCATATGTGCAATCAACCATCAACAAGCTACGTCATGGATTAAATGAATCAACAAGGACCACAAGGAAGTCGGAAGACGTATCGCTCAAGAAAAGGCAGCCAAGAAACACTGTAACAGAGCGATATGAGAACACCCTGTTGTCAATTCAATCTCATCTCAACCAACTCCTCTCCACTTCAATAACAGTCAAAAGTACGACACAGGATGTAGAGGTGATCTGGTGATTGATGCAAATGACTTGTTAAAAAAGTTACGCTTGTTAGACATCACAACCACTTACAATACGTGGGACTGCATAGTCGTCTGGCTAAAGACTCACTAGGCGTCTCCAACTCCTGCCCCATGTTTGAACAACTCAAGACATTCTTAATGTCTCGAGTAAACGCTCTAGACAATATCAAAGAAGCTTCGACTTCAAGAAGCCCGGCCCAGTCTCATCCATCGAAGAAGAAATCGGCGAGAGCCTACCAGTCATCATTAATGACTGAATTGAACGGCCCACAAGGTATCCCAAAGCAGAACAAGATACGCGACTATTGCCCACAGCAACATTTGGTGGCCGTATGTTCAAGATTCAATGAAATGCTGATTGTTGAAAAAAAGGATTTCGTAAGTAAATGACACCTGTGCTACAACTGCTTGGGGCATCACTACATTTGCGTGTGCAAACAAAATTGGACGAAGTGTAAAAAACGGCATCACATGCTACTATATTGAACGTAAGGGTAAGGTCAGCACTCTTAAAAGCAGATTCTCGGGATCAAGTCTCGTGCATCACGCTGAAAACACTTGTGAGAAACAGGGCACTCGATTCAGGATATTACTCCACACCCTCACTGAAATTACGTTTCCGGTACGTCGAGCTTGCAGTACTACCAATCCCCGAGGAAGGAAATCATTAATAAAATTGTTGATGGTGGGCGGAATGTTCAGGATTGGAGTACTTTCCAAGACTTTGGCTCTCGGAAATTTATAATCCTTCAAGCTCTCGAATTTTTATGAACATTTTATTCCGAGAATTCTCGAACATTCTAAAGCTTTACTTTGGAACGTCCTACAATGTTTATCTAGTCTCCGCATAGCAACGTCGGTTGGCCAAACAACCGTCTAAAGCTGTGCTTCCTGGAGTTCTCGAAACTCCTAAAGCTATATTCTTGAACGTTCGCAAGTTAATCTAGTCTCTGCATAGCAAAATCTATTAATTGTTGCCATATGTCTAAACTGTCGCGTGGATATATAAAGCAAGCATGCTAAGAGCCTCGCTCTCTCTCTCTCTCTCTCTCTCTCTCTCTCTCTCTCTTAGTGACAACGCCACGATACAGGATACTGTTTGTCTTAGCAAGATCATCATCATGGAATAGGCGCTCTCTATTAGCAGAGCCGCCACGGAGTGAACACGCCTTCCGCTTCGTGTGCGTATTAAACGGACTGCTATCGTCTGAACCGCCAAGGAGATTACACGCTATCAATTGTACAAGCATTCAATAACCAGACCTGCAAGGTGCTGAAGGAGCATCGCATCACCCTCAACTCCTACAGATTAAGGGAATCTCGCGCATCTTGATTGAGCACAATCTCTATCTCCAACCTCGACCAGTAGGCCCAAAAAACATACAAGGCACTCGCAAGTAATCACTAACACGATCACCACACACACACGCACACACGCACGCACACAATTTCCGCACCATACGTAACCCTGTTTTGTGGTACACCCACTCTTACACTCACAAGATTCCATCAAGTGAAATCACCAAAGAACTGCATGGATCAGACCACAACTCTCATTATCAACTGAGAATCATTATAGTGTTATTGTAAAATAAATGCAACAATCAGAACGAAAAAAAAGACCTATTAATTACTGAATTACCCCTTCCACTTATCCTGACTTCTCCCACCAATAAACTGGTGGTCATAGTCTAATCCAGCCATCCTGGTTCTTCGACCACCGGATGACTGGAATTCTAAACATTTGGTTAAAAGAAATAAGAAGAAATAAGAAATAAAAAATAGACACTTTTCTATATAAACATTAACAGAAAAAAATATATATTAAAAAACAATAAAATAAAATAATTTTTAAAAACTCATTTTAATGCGCAATTTCCAAACTTAAAGAATAGGTATGATTTATTTTAATTAATAATTGAGCACAACATCAATCCTATTATTTTCGAATAGCTTGATTTGAATTTATCTTTTTTCCATAAAAAGTTTTAAATTATAATAGTTAGAATTTTATAATATTAATAATGGAAAATCATGCTTCATTCATTATCACGCACATATATATATATATATATATAACATACCGATAACATTCGTCTCGTAACGAGCTTAAAAACTGTAATTAATGGAATAAATCGATTTAAAAACTTAACCATTATGTCACTTTAAAATTTAAAATAATATAGTATTATATAATATACTAAAAAAGTGAATCGCTTTTAACTTTTAAATTCTTAATTGATTCATTTTAGTTGGCCAACCGAGATTTGTATGGTGCCAGGTTTTGAAGTTTAATGATTAAATGAAAATTAATTTCTTTCATTAAACTAAACCATCAGAAAAGTGAATACAAATTTTCATAATTCAAAACTGCATCTTATTTATTAGTAATTATGATACAGGATTAAATCAATTGCTAACTTAATTACAAAATAACATGAGACAATATTCTCGTTTTTTTTAAATAGATTGAAGTTGAATATAAGCAAGTCAATATTGTATTTATTACAATACTGACGCAAGTAAGTCCAGAGATTATGTACCTGATGACGTTCAAGTAGTGCTTCAGCGCCCGTAACATCACTGGCGAGTTCCTCGGATGCAACTAGACCCACCATTGAATTAATCCAGGACATAAGGTCTCGATAGTCGCTAAGGTAACGTTGTAAATCGTACGAATCAAGAAGTTTCTCTTTGCGTGAATTGGCCTTAGCGGTGAGCTGCGTCCACTCCTCATTGATTTCTTTTTGCTTTGCATACGTCTGCTCAGCTGTATCTGGATGTGATTGCATTAACCGATTAGCCGTTTCATCGAGTTGCTTAATTTTATCCCCTAGAGCCGCCAAGTCACGTTCCAGACCCTCATGCTTGCGTTGTAACGCTTGTACGCTTCGTAAATCCTTGCCTAAGTCATCATTATTAAGAGCCGCGTCCTTTTCTCGTATCCAGTCCTTAGTTTCATCTACATCTCGATGAAAGCGTTGTACCTCATGGGCTGAGCCTAGTTGACTCGCCCGCTCCGCTGTAAGCGTTTGAAGACCTGTCCATTTATCATTCAATTCTTGTATTTGCGTCTGAATTTTAAGAGCGGCCTCTGTTTGTCCGAGGCTTACCAACTGTACCGCGATCTCGTTCATCTCCGCAAGGCGCACCTCATTCGCTTTCAAATCTGCACGAAAGTCATCAAATTTTTTTTGCATGACTTCAACCTGCTCAAGATCCTCACCTACATCTTGAACTTGAGCATGATTCTCTTTATCTTTGATCCAGGCTGCAAGTTCAGCAGCTTCGCGTACTAATACATAGGCTTTGGCTGTTTCGCTAAGTCGCTCCTGGCGTTCGCGTGCTACACGCAACAATTCACTGTATTGCGCCTCGATCTGTGCTTGACGGGCTCCAATCGAGCCCTGCTCACGTGTCAAACTCTGTTGTGAAGCCCCTAAGCCCGTTTCTAGTTCAACTCGCTTAACGTATGCCGCTGGTACGAAGCCCTGACGATCGTTTACTTCGACTTTCCACCAATCCTTGTTACTGCTGTTGAGAAGAGCAAGGCTGTCTCCTTTCTTCATTGAAACTTCTCGTGGTGATTTCTCTGCGTAGTCGTAAAGTGCGAGTACACATTCCTTGCCAGCTGCTTCAAGCGCGGGAGTTTCTTGTTGGGGACAGGCTGCTGCTTGGGCCGCCAATGCCCCAATTGTACTAGCAAAGGCTTCCAGATCGCTGAGTAGAGCCTCATGTTTTTTAAGTAGGGCTTCGCTACTGTCTTCGTCTTTACCGTAATCTGCACCTACGACAATTGGTCGCTTCTCTTTCATCCAAGATTCGGCCTCATTTGCATCGGCGAAATACTGCTGCGCTTGTAATGAGTCTTCTAAATCTGCGCGTCGGCGACGTGCACGTCCCTTCAACTGCGCCCAACGTTCCTCAAGGCCAGAAAGCCGCTGACTGATCTCCTCAGCAGCAAAATGACCCTCGACGAGCATCGCTTCAGCCGCTGCGCGAACTGCCGCCAGCCGTGCTTCTCGATTACTGATCTCTGCTAAAGCAGCCTGCTGTTTCTTCATAAGGTTCTGCACGCCTATAAGATCGCGACCACGACTTGCACTTCCTGCTACTGGCTCCTTTTCTCGTATCCAAGCTTCTTCATCTTCGAGGTCACGAAATAGCTGCTGGGCACGTAACGAGTCACGCAAACGCTGACGGCGGGCAAATGTCGGCTCAGTCAGTGCTGCATATCGACTGGCTAATTGCTCTTGCTTCGTTCTGATATTATCCGCGTCAAAATGTCCTCCGGCAACGAAACGTTCTGCAGCTCGAGCTACTGCTTCAATGCGTTCCTGATGAGAAGCTACATCTGCTTCGAGTAAGGCTTGTCGCTTAAGCAAATTCTGTACACTTGTTAAGTCCTTTCCCAAATCCTCACTTAACAATTGACCTTCAAGCTCTGACAGCCATAACTCCAAGTCCTCAACCGTACGATTAAACTGTTGCTGTTGCGCCGCTTCCTGAAGTTTCGCAGCTTTTCGTTCACTTGCTCTTCCTAATTCTGACCATAGTGCTGCTGTTTCATCAATACGTTCAGCGACACGGTCAGCTGCATAATGCTCGGCTGCGCGTAATGCGTCACCTTGAGCTACGAGTTCTTCCATGCGTGCTCGATTAGCTACCAACTCCTGTTCAAAATTCTGGTGTTTTTGTAATTTTCCATTAAGATTTGTGGGATCAAGATAGCTGTCATCCGTTGCGAATTTCAGCTTCTCATGAGCCCAACCAGCTGTTTCGTCACAATCACGTTCGAATTGTTGTAACCGATAAGCATCCTCGAGAGCCCGTCGTCGACGCGCCGAGCGCTCTAATAAAGAAGCGCGACGTTCAAGGAGTCGAGAGCGACGTTGGGATACTTCATCAGCTGCGTAATGCCCCCCTTCAACGAGTTTACCCGCAAACTCGTCAAGAGCACGAATTTTTTCCTCTTGAGCAGCGAGAGACTTATCAAAATCTTCATGCTTCTTAGCAAGAGCCTCAACCCCATCAAGTGAGTCACCAAGATCCTCGTTAGCAAGAAAAGCTTCCTGTTTGGCCATCCAAGCATCTGCTTGTTCGGTATCCCGATAGAACAATTGTAAATCCATGCATTGCTCATAGAGAACTCGTCGTTGTTCCCACAGTTCGAGAAGAGCACTACGTTCAGCGCTCAAAGCTTCAAGCTTACGAGCAACTTCCTCGGCAGCATAGTGTTGACGCTCGAGAAGACGTCCACCAGCGAGAGTACTAGCCTCAAAGCTATCTGCACGTGCATCTATTTCACCGCGGTGTTCTTGGTGACGCTCCAGAAGAGCTTCGGCTCCAGCTACATCCTTAGCAAGTTCGTCAGCCGAAATAATGGCACGCATGTCGTTAGTCCATGAAACGAGATCCCTATAGTCTGCAAGAAAGCGATGTAAACTGTGTGACTCGTCAAGTTTTTGGCGACGCTCTTTGGCCTTCAAAGTAAGAACTACCAAGACTGAAGCCTTCAAAGTAAGACCCTCCCAAGACTGAAGAATTTCGGCACGTTTAGTTTGAATCTGTTGAGCGTGTTCAGGCTGTTGAACACCTGCAAGTCTATCAGCTTCAGCTCCTAAAGTCGCTACTTTATCCTCAAGAGCAGCAAGATCGCGCTCGACATTCTCATGAGTACGCTGTAATAATTGCACACTTGCAAGGTCGCGACCGAAGTCATCGGATGAGAGAACAGCATCCTTTTCAGCAATCCACGCCATAGTTTCATCGGCATCGCGATTAAATCGTTGAATTTCGTGAGCGCCAAAAAGTTTTTCCTGACGAAGAATGGCCAATTGTTTGAGACGCTGCCAAGATTCATTGAGTTCTTCTTTACGTCGTAAAATTGTGTCACGTTCCGGATGTCCATCAAGTAGTAATTTGTCTGCAAGTTCATTTACCTCTGTCACACGATATTCTTGACTTGTCATATCCTTTTGGAACTCATCAAATTTTCTTTGCAACACCTCTACGTGCTCTAAGTCCTGGCCAAATTCATCTGTTGTTACAAATGCTTCCTTATCATGAATCCAAAACATTACTTCATCACAATGACGAATGAACTGTACTAGAACCAAGGCTTGTTGAAGTTTCAAACCTTTATCAGCTAATCGTGAAAGAAGTAGTTCCCAAAGGCGATGTAATTCCTCTTAAAAATTGTAAGAAATTGATTCTGTTAGATATTGACTCTTTACAATAAAATTCATTCATTTGTATGTTTAAATCTAGGATAAAAAATATGCAAACAATAAGTTTTGCAGTATATCTTATTAAGCAAAATAATTTCTGAATTATTAATAAATATTAATATATAAATTCTTCGTCACAAGTATATAAAACTTTTATCAAATCATTTACTTAAAATTTTATTATATACAATTGTCAAAGAAAAAGCTCCCAGATTTTTTAATTTGATATTTTTTTTAATTCTAAAATTAACTAAGAGCTGTGCAAAACATTTAAATATTGCAATTGTATATCATTATTTAGATTTTACTTCTAAATTAACTTCACTAAAGTTTTAGTCAATAATTTTTTAAACAAAAATGGATACTTTAGATTTGCTTACCAAGTCTTTTACGAATTATATCATGAGCAAAATGCTGTTGAGCGACCATTTCTGTTCCAGTATTATCTAACAGAACAATTGCATTAGAATGAGCTGCCACTTCTGCTTCAAAAGCTTGATGTTTTTGAATTTTTGCTTGGAGGTTTGTCGGATCTTTATAACTTTCGTCTGAAGCAGCTTGCAGTTTCTCATAGATCCAACCTTCAAGTTCATCTGCATCTCTTTTAAAATACTAAAATCAAAAGATAATGTAGAAATATCGAAAAACCTATAAATATGCTTAGGAAAAGTTAATATAATTGGAAATTCAGGATACCTGGAAACGACGAGAATCTTCGAGTTTATCTCTCTTATTTCGAGCTTCGGCTTTAAAATTAGCATAACGACCCAGTACTTGTTCTCTTCTTTCCTGAATATCTTCAGGATTTTCAAGTATCTTTACCTCCTTTGGTGTGATTTGCTGATCCATTATTAAACTAGTTCTTCAAATGCCCTTTTAACTTATCCTACCTTCGCACTTGCTAGGCCAAAATGGCCGCACGGGTGTGGCACAGAACAACTAAATTCTTGTCTAAAACATTAATTACATCAATAGTAGAATACCTGTTCTTTCATTCAATAATGTTTACTATACAGCTATATATATATATATTCCAATTAAATTTGTATAAATTATACGATTAAATTTGAACTATTAATGCCAAGTTCATAATTTTGTTAACTTACTTGTATAAAGTAATTTATTTTACAGCGTTCTATGCTGGAATCTACTACTGCATATATATATACATACAAAGCTTCACATATCGGCAATCTTATATCGAATCTTGCATCTCCACATGCGCAGTGAAGGTCTTTTATCATTAGTATTTGAAAACGCGCGAAATATAACGAAATTTAACATTAGATTATAATTGAAGAATACAAATTGAAAAATTGACCAATGCAAAATACCATAACTTTGAAAAAAATTTATTTAACTATTTTCAAATATAATATTGTATAAAATATAATATAAGATATTTGAAAATAGTTAAATATTAAAATTGTTATACAATATTAACCGAATAAAGGCTATTAGTATAATATCAAAAGAGTAAAACATAAAGTACGTATAATTATAAATTATAAAACTTAAGTTTATATTTATTAATAGATATATTAATATTCTTATATAGATTCGTATAGAAATGATATAAAATATTTGTTTTTAATTTTATAAATATATTTTAAAGAATTTTTATTTTATAAATTTATTACATGTATTTGCATGTTTTTAAATATTTTATATGACATTTTTAAGAAACTGTTGATTCTTATTTCTTAATAAACTCTCAATAATTTTGACAATATTGTATTCTTTAATATTGCTAATTACATTCTTACTACATAGCCAATTTATAAGAATTGCACAATGTTGAAACTAGAAAATAATATCACTAACTTACCTCGTACTTTTCTTAGTTCTAATACAAATAATTAAAAAAATCAAAATTTTAGTAAATATTCCTTAATAAATTACTATATTATTACATGAATATATTATTTTTGTAGTTTTCAATTTCGAATTAGTATTACTTTAAGTGGGAATAAGCACCAATCAAGTCAAATTTCTATTGCGCATGCAGTATGTGATTTTGATTCATTTTATTTATTTATTTACACTCTTTATACATTACGTATTTAATTAATTTATATGAACTATATATAATTATAATTTGTAGAATATCTCATAGTCAGAAACATTATATAATGAACATAATAATTAAATAATACGTATTTAAAAATATATTTACAAGTTTTTCAACAACTTCTTATTTATCATTTAAAATAATATTAACTTAAAAATATAAATTTATATAATCTGGACAATTATATTTATATTATATGTTGTCATAATTAGTAAATTTAATACTGTAAATCATCTATTACCTATTTTATATTAGAATTAAATCTTATATTAACGGTAATTAAATTTAGATAAAAATACAAATATTTTAAATTTACATATGCACAAGTTTATTGATTTAATAGCTCAAAAGCCACCTATGATGTGCACATTAGTTAATAATTCAAAATAAACATATCTTATTGATATGTCATATTTTGATTAGAATTTATTTTAAATTTACCTGCAAAGATAGAAACAAATATTAATAAAAAATAATTATAATAAATTACAATTTTCCCATGCTTGTTTTTGTATTCCTGTTTGTTTAGCTATCCTTTTCTAACTTATCGTTGAAAACTTTCCAAATGATAAAACTAGTATCGTTATGAGTGATTTAAATCATAGAAAACTAATCGATTAAAAATTAATTAACTTTACTTCTGTTTTAAAGTATAAACTCCTCGTGTGCAGTCATTAACTAATTAAAAGATAATTATGAACATTTTAAATCGAACAGCGTTTTTTCATACCACTGTAGTCTTATTCATTATGTTTACAAAATATTTATGATCTAACGTAATATCTGTATATGCATGGAATACCACACCTCCATACACATTGCAGTATATGATCAGTCATGCGACTGCTATGTTCTTATGTAGAAACTAACTGACTCCAACTATTTGCGTTACAAATATAAGACCTAATTTACATTTCATGGTTTACTAATTATTACTAGAAAAAAGCAATTTTTTAAATATCATTTTTAAATATATATTTTAAAGAAATCTATATACAATCATTATTCTTATATATTATTTTACTGATGTAATACAAAATTTTCGAGATTATGTAAAAGATCATTTAATTAAATTTTTCTTTTGCTCATTGTAGAATTACATTTTTATTATATATATATATATATATATATATATATATATATAAACAAAACAAATTAAAAAATTTTCTAAAAAAATATAATAATATTTAATTATATAATATTATAATATTATGAATATTAATATGATTTATTTAAACTTTTTATCAAAAATGATTTAAATACTGCTAGATTGTGTTATGAAACATTTAAAGAAAAGTATTCTGAAATGTATTTTACGATCTTTTATGAAAATTAATAAAATAATTTTATTCAGTAAATAATAAGAATCTACTAAGAATTTTACTATCTCTTCTTTAAAAGATTATTTAATACTATTATTGTTATTTATCTGTTAAATGCTACATAATTTTTATATTTAATCAAAATATAACAAAATGCTTCATTCTGGTAAATTTATATTTAAAATAATAATGAAACTTATATATTTTATATTTTATATAGAAATTTGATATATATGCACTTTTGAAATTATTTGAAAAAAAAACATCTACTCAAAAATAATATAATTATGTTTAATTTATATTTGAAATAAATATAAATATATTTTTCTTAGATTAAAAATGCTGGCCTTTATGTAAAATTCAATTCATTTTTAATATCATAACTATAAACATGTCTAGTATTTCTTAATAATCAATATTAAAGGTATTTACATAGTGTTGTTTCATAATTTCAATTTAATTTGGTTATGATTACAGATTCATATTTAACACTAATTAATAATTTATATCTAAGTAGAGTATTTTAAAAAATAAAAAATTTACTTAATAATTATAAAAAAATTAATAGAAGATATCAGGCAAACAAACAAACTGTGCATGTGTGTGAAAAGGAGTGTATACGTACATACGTGTCTATCTACAAAATTTTACTTGTAATATTATAATGTACTATTATTTTTATGTATATATCCAAATATAAAATTAATTGTTGACAAGGTTATGTATTTTGTTAGAAAACTTTCAAGTTCTTTTTAAATAATAATACATTTTATTGTTTAATAAAAAAAAAATAAAGAAATAATCTTAGATTTTTATTTTTATACGAGCTTTTATTAATTTATTAATAATACTACATATATGTTTGAGCATAAACAGTATATTTATTTTTAATATTTTTAATTATATTTTTTAAATATTTTTTTCGAATATTTTTGTCAGTTAGTTTATATGTCGTATATTTAAATATTTGCTTATTTTAATTCTAATTGAATTCTAATTGGTAAATCAAAATATTTGGTTGGAACAGATACAAAAATTAATAAAAACAAAACATTGTATTATACATTGTGTTTTATTAAATTTCACCTACAAACAACGAATCACAGAACGTTACATTAGAGTTCCATATATCAATCCATCGCATTTCATATATTTTACAAGTAAATATTCATATACTTTATCCCTATTATAACAGAGTCTTACTCATTAAATTATGCTTTAATGTAGTCAAATGTTATGAATGATATATAAATTTACTTTCCCTAAAAATATGACCTCTGTCGTGTGATAGGTCGTATTTTAAAAACGTATGTCATTGTGTATAGAAGTTGCATACAAATTACGAAAGTGTATATCTTCTTAAATCATTGGATTATTTGTTTATGTATAGAATAATCAATAATTTATTTAATTAATAGAAAAGTTATATTTCTTTATGTAAAAGTTTGTATTTATAATTCTTTCTAATAGATTAATTTTCTTCATAGAAAATATCAATAATTTTAATAATTTAAATTCTTCAAAATATATTGAAAATGTAATAAAATGTAGGTATTTATTGTAACAAATTTTTAAAGTGCTATTAATATATTAATTTATCATTTTTAACTTTTCATTAAATTTTTTTTAATTCGATTTTTATTAAATTTTGATATTATTATTATCCCACTTTTAACTTTTACTAATAAAATTAATCAATGATAAAAGTAAAGCTTATACGCCCCTAACATCGCATATTGTACTAACTATTGTGGATTGATTCATACTATAGAAATATTCAATGTCTCTCCGTATCTCTAACTTTTTTTGCATAAAGGTTAAGGTTGAATGTATTTTTTTTTCTTTTTTGTTGATAATATATGTGCCTCGTGTATATTTGTTTTGTTAATTTTTTCTTTGATTATACGTATATGAGGGAAAACCGATCAGGATGGAGGACAGTAACATATCGTCTGCTTTTTTTGTTCCCTTAAATATCGGGGTACAAATTATAATTATTATCATAATGGGACACTTATATTTTGTATTTCTTTGTTTGTCTTTTATATTTAATTTCTTTTTTGTTAGAAGGCAACACTTTGTTAATGCATAAAGGCAATCCGTTTTGTATCATCGGTATGTCTGCAGTCCCAACACATTATGAGCGAACTACAAAAAAAGAAGTTTCTTGTCCTTGTTAGATGCACCCCAACATCGTTTGAGACTGTAACAGGCATTATTGGCAGCACTGGATAACTGTACTTTACTGTATTTCGTTTTTATATTATTTTTATACATTATTCCTTCTCTTTATTTTAAAGAAAATTTTCGAGACTATTCGTCGAGTTAAAATTGTTCAGAGAGCACTGATGAGTCTTACAATAATTTCACTTTTACGCTCATACGTTTACGTTTCCATGCGTACATTTACACATTTGCATTTGTCTTTTCATTCAAATTACAGCGTAGCTTATTATATTATTAATGTTAAACAATAACGCATTCTCATAAGTGACTCCACTCAATAATATTTACAAAAACTTATCTTCAATTTAAACTTGAAGTATTTTCACATCACGACCCAGAACGTTAATAAATTAATTATCTTCATAATGATTACTATTATTATTTTTACACCCTGGGCATAGGAAGGGCGATTTCCTAAATTGTTTGACACTGTCCTTATCTTTCTATTTAACGAAAATTATATTTGCTGTTATATTAGATGGAAGCTATTTTATGTGCGTATTGAAGTTTCATTGAAATTAACCAGAAATGATGAATAGAAAAATTCTTAATAACATGTATTCTTCACATTTGAAAAGGCAATGAGAAAAAGTTTAATACGGTATAACTTAGCCCTTCCTCTCCAACGTGACATAATCTCAGAGTCACTACATAATATATATGTATAACACGTATGTGTATGTGGAGCGTGTGCACTGTGTGTGCGTCCACGTGCGTTAGGTTTTAGCGCATATGTGGGTATAATATATAATATATAGATATATTACATACAATTTTCAAATATTTCATACATAACACGCAAACATACCTTCACGCACACGTGCAATTTCATACACACACATACACATATGCGCGCGCGCCCGCACACACATATGTATATATATATATTAAAATTATACTCTATGTACAGATATACTATTTATTTCAATAATCTTTTACGAATCAGTAACATTATAATGCTAAATAACATTCTTGGACCTCGTGTATAATGTGTGTATGCAAGTGTATGTGTGTGAATGTGTTTCATAATAGCCAGCACCTTAATCATCACCTCAGCACAAGTAAAAACAACAATTGCTCCATTTCTTATTTATAAAAAATATATAGTGCGTGAGTGCATGCCTGAGTCTTCTGTCTGTCTTGTCTGTTTTCTCTTTCGATTCTCTCACGCAACTTCTCTCTTTCTCTATACTTTTCTTTTCATATTCTTCCTTTTTATTTTTGTTTGTCTTTCTGTCTATATATTTAAAAATATCAAATACATAAAGAAAACGCGCACGCCTATTTCCACTCAAAAATTCGCAGCGCTTAAACCCATTCGTATTTACCTTTTTAAAATTTGTTTTTCACAGCCCTCGATTCGCATTGCATGTTTTCTCGTTTATCAAATACAATTGTAAAGCCAACGATGATTTTCCTTGATTAAAAATGAAAAATCTTGGGTTTAAGTATGTGCAAATTTTCCAATGTAAATGTACAATATATAAATAGTAGTTAGTCGAGTTTATATTCGAAAAAATATACAAATTTAGTAACTACGTATGTTTCTACATGATTAAATCTTCGAAGTTTAAGTAAATTATTTAAAGATGTTTGCTCCATAAGTTAATGCTTTACTCTTCTATTCGGTTCTTTCTATTTGTTTCGAATCATGATATTTCCATTTGGGTCGCTTGGGTAGTCTGTTTTATTATTAATTAGAAAAATATTAATAGATGCATGGGTGAATGGATGGATGGATGGATGGATGGATGGATGGATGGATGGATGGATGGATGGATGAATGGATGGATGGATGGATGAATGGATGAATGAATGAATGAATGAATGAACGAATGAATGAACGAATGAATGAATGAATGAATGAACGAATGAATGGATGGATGGATGAATGGATGAATGTATGGACATTGATCGATTGGGAGATTGAGAGAGAGAGAGAGAGAGAGAGAGAGAGAGAGAGAGAGAGAGAAAGGAGACGAACCGCGTAAAATAGAAAAGTAGAACAGTTATGCAGAGCACATGGTGAGCTTTTTAAAGAGCTTTTTAAAAGAGTAAATGCAAATAATGACGGGCAGCAGGGTACTAAGGCACTTGCCATCTGGACCCGCGGGTAACACTTGCTCGTCTCTGTCCTCTGTTGAACGTTATCGATGGTCGGGCCCTGGACGGGCGAGCCCTGTCTCACGCACCTGTACAATCAATTTCAACAATGTCCTTGGGCACGTCTACAAACTGATAGACCAGTCGCTGACCGTCAACTTTAGCGAGAATGCCACGTTGGTAATAGTAACGCAGTGCTCTACCCATCGTTTCGTAGTTCATATCCGGCTTGTTCTTGTGTAAGCCCCAAAGCCTTGATACAGCTTTGCTATCAACGAGCTTGAAAACGCCGCGCTCACGATTCGTCCATTTGATGTAACGTGGGCAATACTCGCGATCCTGAAGTAATTTTAATAGGAATTCCCAAAGGTAAGTAGTTGAGCCTTCGCGAGATTTCCGCTTGACAGGCGAAGCTTGGCTGGACCCTGCTGGTTCTTGAGTCGTACCTAATCGTGGTTTCTTGAGCTTGCTCTTTTTGGGCCGACTAGGGAAGCCCAACTCCAGCAGATAGAGATCGTCTGAGACTGAGGATGTTGCTGCCTGTATAACACTTGTGGGCACACCACCAGCCCCGACAGCGACTCCAGGCCCAGAATTGTTGTTTCGCGGTGGTGAAGGTGTACATGGAGTTGCGAAATTCGCTCCGCCGTACATTGACGAAACGTAGTTACTGTAGCTCTCTGACACTGAAAATATATTGTAAATAATAATAACAATTATAATATTAACTATTATAATGTTTGTTATAATTTTATTCTAAGGAAATGCTTATCTTATATACCGAATCCCTATGCAATGCTACGCCCTGTTTATACACGCATTTGAATTTAGATAGGCTACTGATTTTATATGCAGTTAAGCGCCCTTAGTACCTAAAAATATAGTATGTGATACACCTACACTCGCAACTGTTCAAAAACAATAGTTGTGAGCTTGAATAATAATACATATGTATTTGTAGTCTACATTTTCGTGCAAAAGTGAAAACATTGATTTTGATTACAGTCGTATCATTCATATAAATTAATCAATTAATAATTATGCAAATTTAGACAATATTTATCAGAGAGAGTGAGAGAGAGAGAGAGAGAGAGAAATCTGATTAAACGATATTAAATTAAACAATATTAAACAATAAATTATAATTGTCACATTTATGTTTCAAGTAATATACGTAAAGGTTAAAAGAATTTAGAATTCTTGAGTTGATTTTTATATATTTGAGTATGCTTTATGTATTTATTATTAATATATTGAGTATTGGTCTAATGTTAATTTTATAGAATTATATATATTTTATCATATATTTATTAATGTAATTATGCGTTTTAGTTAAATGTTATACATTCACTAAATTTTACGCAAATGTACTTCTAATTTATCGATTGATGGAGAAAATTTTAAACTATATATTTATGTTTATTTTCCTATTAAAAATTTATTTATAAAAATAAATATTTTTAGAATAAATGACAATACTTAAAAAAAAACAAGATGATTAGTTTTACTTAATTATTGCGTATGAGGAAAATATTCTTACATTTTTTTTGTTTATATAATTTGTTTTTTTTTTTGTTTGTTTTCTGTTTTTCTTTTTGTGAATTTACTCTATTCTTATAATTTAATATATGTATATTGTACTATTTATAATCATATTCACTTTTTTAGTACTTTGTAAAATATAAAACGTAAAGTGATAAAAGCATTTAGATCTCTAAGATTTTCTTATGATTTGTATTAATTTTCATAGTTATTATTTTGCATATTATCGAAAATAATTAAGTCATGTCCATAAGGAAAATAATTATTCACATGATCTTTATTTTTATGAATATTTATTTTTAAGAAAATTAATTATTAATATACAAATACTGTACGTTCTCAAAAATTAGAATTCAACTATTATTTGACTTTGCAAATTAAAAATCAAATCTATTATATAGTTCTAGATAATAGATAGCTATATCTATTATATAGTTATAGTAGAGTAAGCTTTCGTATTAAGTAATAAAAAATATTAAATATTATTAAAAAATTCATTTATTTACCAAGTAAAATAAGCAAATGACTATAGGAGAGAAACGCGAATCTATGTATTAAACCGGAAGTACAAATATAACAAGCGGACAATTGATTAGGGGGGGGGGGGCACTACAGGACAAGTGAAGGTGTTGTACTATTATGTGATGGTAGTCAACGATTACTTGTAGCTTGCTCATACATTTGTATGCTTATATTATTGTATGCAACGTACGAAAGATCCCGATAGCTGAGTAGCTGAGTGAATAGAGAATAGTGTGGGATAAAGACGACTCGACAAGAGAAGCATCAAACTCAGAAGCAGCGGCAGTAGCAGAGACAGCAGCAGTAAGTAGCAATATAGCAGCCAACATGAGAGGAAAGGGAAAGAAGGGGAGAGTTGACCTTCAGCTGTGTCGGGAAAGTCAGGCAGTCACTGACCGACAGACTAACTTATTCTCTCTCTCTCTCTCTCTCTCTCTCTCTCTCTCTCTCTCTCTGTTTGACTGTACATCTACCTCTCTTTTTCTTTTCCTCTCTCCCGCAAGCCCTCCTATCCCCTCTCCAACCGATCGTTTCACTCTGTACTAGTCTGATGCAGCGACGGCAAACAGCAACAACCGCGACTGGCAATGACGTTATTCTCTCTTTTTGTTCCTCAGCTTCTCTCGCTCTTCCCCTACCCTTGCCTAGTACTATTGGACCGTTGTTTCTTTCTTTTTCTTTCTCTCATCCTATTCCTTTGCGCTTTTACTAACAAGTCATCTTCCTCCTCCCGACCCTCTCATTGCTTACTCATTCTTGCTCCCCCCTTTTTGATCCTCTCGTTCTTCTTTGAAATTTGCACACTTTTTCTTGATGTGAAAGAAAGCCTACACCCTACCTACAGGATTTCCTGTTCGCTGCATCTACAATCAAACCAGTCTGTAGACCCCCAAAAGAGTTGCAGCCCCATTATACATATTAACTGAAAAACCGCCTATTACACCTTAGCATTCCTCTCAACGCTTTGACAACTCCCCCTTATCTTATAACTATATCGCAAATCTATATTTAATATATGTAATTTGTTTTATTATTTATAAAGATATAACTGATTTTTCAATCTTACAAATACAATTAAAGATAAAAACTATTTTGATATAAACATATCTATCCATGTATTATAATTTACTATTTAATAAAAACAAGATCTAATTAATTCCCATGGTTCATTCTGATTAAATGAAGAAAACATAGTACATAATCTAACAAAAATGATAAACTTTTAAATGCTCTTAAGAATTCTTTTTAATTTGTACTGTGCATTTAATTGATTTTGGTAGTAATCGTTACCAAAATAAAACATGTATATCATATATAATAAAAACTAAGGGGATACGGTTACTTACATACTGACACACTATCAATGTTTTATATTTCATATACATATGTATCTTATATTAAAAATATTTTATTAATAAATTTCAGTTCGTGTGCATTTTATGTAATTTATGTCATGTAATTTTATGCATTTTATATTGATTTTTCAGAAGATATTTTTTATAATTTTTTTACATGTGTAATGTTATAAAATAAATTATATTTCATAAGTTATGTTTTTGATCAATATTTTTATTATGATATCAAAATTAAATATTTTATTATGAATTTGTATCGCTAACAAAATTGTTAGATGAAATATTTTAAACATATGTTTATCATTGGTTAGTATAATGAAATAAATATAAAAAAGATGATAATTTTGAAAAACATTTACTAGATATTCGGAATTCAGTTTGAAATCCATAGTAACGGTAAAATGAAAAATATTTATAGTTTTCGTACAAATTGAATTTTTTCAACAATTAGTATTATATTCCAAGAATTTTTCGATTCATTTGTATAAACTTAAATAAATTATTTAAAAATTTGTATTGCATTTGAGCTTTTAAAACTATTTACTCATAAATATTTTAGTATTTTATATATTTATATCAAATATAATAAAGAGCTAAGAATATTGATATTAATATCATCAAATCATAAAATAAGGGTTAATAATTTAACGTTAATTAAAGATCACAACTACTTTTACTTTTACGATTATGAATGAATGAAATTATATTTTAATGAATTATTATCATCGACAGTTTAATATAATTGTGGCTTAATTTTGTTGTAAATTTAATAAAAAATTAAAGTTATAGATACAAAAGTGTAGCTATTCAACTTAAAAAAAATGAAAGATAAAAGAGTGCAAGGTCATAGACAGTTCGAAATGCATTGAGGACAGTCGCAGATGCGTGAAATGGACGCCATTGCACGTATAATGCACTTTCTTTCCTCCCATCTCCAATAATGCGTCACAAGCGAAACAACGAGACTTACTCACTTTCTCCACTTTTCTTTCTGTCTATTCGTAGATCGCGAATCTGGAGTAGCAGTATACTAGGTCTAGGTCTAGATTTTTCTTTCTATTTTCTATCTTTTAGTCTTCCTCTTTCTACATGTACTTACAATTTAATTCTCATTCGTTGTTTTTGTTTTATATTGGAAGTTGATAATTAATCATTACGTTTTAAATTACACATAGGCTTTCTAATTATTATTAATTTATAATACTTAATAAAAATAAGATAAAAAAAATTATGTTTTAAAGCAATCAAAAATTGTAATAAAATAATTTAAAATTGTAATATTTCATGAGAAGAAAGCTCAACGAGATACCGAAATGATCTGGAAGTTTGGAAATTATATTTAGAAAGAGTGAGAGGAGGATGAGAAGCACGCGGGGAAGGAAGAGAAAGAACTAGAGATAAAGATAGATATAGATAGATATAGATAGATAGATAGATAGCTAGCTAGATAGATAAATAGAGAGAGAGAGAGAGAGAGAGAGAGCAAGTGGCCTAGCTACATGAACTTGTCATATGCATGAACAGGGTTTGCAGTTTGCTTCAAACAAATTTACACATACGAGTATACAAGTGTGCACAAGTTTATGACATGTCGAGCGACCTGCAACTGGTCTACACAACCGGAAATGAATCATTTGGAATTGTCAATTTTCAAGGCAGTATTTATCCCCTACTATATTCTTTCTCTTTTCATAGCTCACAAATTATGTTTATGCATAAAGAACGTTTGAGTTTCATCGAATAAGCTCTTCTAAGCTCGAAACTTTTATTTTCTCATTCAGGTTAATCGCGATCTTTCTTTTACTCTCGTTATTAAAGTAAAGTATAAAAATTGTGAGAGTTTAGCTCGATTATTGTAACGATTTGCCTGTCGATGCAAAAATAAGGTAGAAGTTAGCATGGATTCATTAATGTTAACTACAAAACAAAAGCAAATAAAGCAAGTAAAATGATTGATGAGAAATAAAAACAAATTTAAAATAAAATTCAAATAGATGATACGAGAGACGAAGGAGGAGGTGAATTAATGAAAATTAAGTTTGAATCATAAAGCTCACAGCTCTGCACTTAACCTCTAACTGGTGCAACATAACGCACTAACGATGTTGGCTGCGGTAGCGTAGCAAGAGGGAGGGAGGAAACGAGACGCGAGAACAAGGAAAAGGAAGAATCAGTGGAGGAGGGGCAGCATGGCAGACGAGCGTCGACTACTGAGGGGAAAGAAGGGGGTCATCGCGGACAGGCTGAGCGCCAGAAAACTCGGAGAGGGAGACGCTCGAGTGGGGGACAGACGGGGTGAATTGCCGGCACCAAGGTCACCGTCTATACGACCAGAGCTACACTGTACTACATAGTATGACAGTACTTAGAGGAAAGGCTTGTAGTCGTCGATTCTTTTATGCTATATCGATCTCTCTTTATACATACTCTGGTACACGTTAGTTTAATGTGTTCATCCGCATTTCGAGTCACCCATTGGGTCCGTCTTCGCGAACGACTTTACATGCATTCCTTTGTTCTTCTCGCCTTTCATTGTTACTTTCCTTCTTCTCGAGTGCACCGCCCCCGCAGCCGCCCTATACACACGTATTCTTTGTCTTACATTACAGTTGTAAATTGCTTCTTAATGCTCTTTTTGAATTGTTATATAGCATTTCATGCTTTTTTAGATCTTAATAATACTTCAATAAAATAATGATTTTCATTGAAATAGAAACTTAATCTGAATCAGAAACTTTAACAAGAGCTAACTTGTCCACTAGACCTTGAAAGAGAGAGAGGGAAGGAAAGAGAGAGAGCGAGTGAGAGAGCAATATATAGATAGATAGACAGACAGATACAGATAGATACATAGAGAGACAGAGAGGGAGAGAGAGAGAGAGTGTGTGTGAGAGAGAGAGATTCTCTCACTGTGATACTAGTTGAGAACCGCCATTATTTCTTTCTCTCTTTTGCTCGGAAATTTGCGATAGAGCAAGAAAGAGCTCGGGAAGCCATGCATTTTTGCTGGTCGCGGCGGCGGCGGCGGCGGCGGCGGCGGCGGCGATGGTGGTGGCGGTGGCGGCAGCAACGGCGACGCGTGCAAGCAATAAGCTCCAACACATGCAGCTAGAGATTGCAAATGTGGACTGCTGCAATGCTCTCGGCCTCGCTCATGGTATAGGGGCAGAGACCCAGGAAGGACGCGCACGTCGCCTCGTTCGCTCCCACTTCTATACTACTCGTGCAAAAACCTGAGACCTTCATTTCTTTCTATTTTCTTCTTCGTCTTCTTTTTCCCCTCCCATTTCTTCCTCCTTTTCTTCGTTTTCTTCTGCTTTTTTTCCATTCCACCCGGTCTACGGTGAAAGATACCGCGTTAAACTACAGCCGGATGCACTTAAGGAAGACGATTCAAGATCTGATACAAACTGATCAAATTTTAATATAAAATTCCATATAAAATTCTTGTTCGAGACTAACTAACTAGCGACTTGCATTTTTTCAGTATTGTTTTTTTTCGTTTAATTTCTCCAATTCAGCAGGCTTTCTTTTTATTTTATTGTATTCATACACAATAGTATAAAGTAATTTATAACTTTTTAGAATTCATTTACTGTATCATAATTGTTGTTTTGGCTTAACGTGAATTTTAAATTCAAAAAGTAATAAAGCAATACCCCCATACCTTTCTACTCTTCTTATATTTATCTCGAGGTATAGAGTTATGATTATTTGACTAACTATTCTTCTTTGTGCCTTGTGCTAATAATCTAATAAAGATTTTGTATGTGACTTCCGAATATGACAAGATAACTTTATACGGAAAATTTATTGCATTTGTGTCAAGGCGCCTAGTAAGATTTGATTTTTCTACTTTAAGTTGTGTAATACCTTCGTAAAAACGAGTATTTCGCCTCAGTGAGATTATATTTTGTGTTATATGAGTAGGTGCGTTCATGAACAAAGCTTGGTAAAGATTAGGGTGAAGGCCTACTCTTTAAATGCCCGATAAAGGCTAATGAACCGATAATCTGCAAGTATCAAGTGCTTCGACGTTAAATAAGAGTTGAATAAATGCAACGTTATCGCAATAAGTTAAGTGTCAATTTTATACGTATGTACATGTGCGTACCTATGTAAGAAACAAACGATAAAATGATGACGCGAGTGCAATACTACCACCTATGTTTATATTACACATATAATGTATATAATTTATAAGTCTTCTGCGTAAAGAGAAGAAAAATTGAAAATTTTTAAATTATACACAGATAAAAAATTGAGAGTAATTATGCAGTTAAGGGAGTGAATTTATATTATATATATGATATTATAATTGCTTAATGCTTGTCTTGATATCTATTCTTATATATTGATACAAATATAGCGCAAAAGTGTTTTATAAGACTTTTTCTACCTATATTGTATATTGTTCACTACAATTAAGATTTATATTTAACAAAATATTATGAAAAAATAAGCATGAATTATATAAATAATAAACATAACAAACATGAAAATCAAGGAGGTAGAAGATGATTTTATTATTGTTAATGTTAGTGTGATATAAAGCAGACGTGTGAGATTGAATGGCTGATACACGATAATTGCCTTTCGTTTGATAAATATTAGGATGAATACCGTTGATTATTATACTAGAATATAATTATTGCTATTTTTGGCACATACAATGATTTTCACGTAATTCTACATAAAATTACAGCAGTAAAAACTGTTAACATTATTAATACTATTAACATTTCAATGGTATATCAGTTTAAAAGATTAAAAAATTCCAACCTATTTTTATTACAAAGAACTATTATTTGTAAGAACTTTAAATTCATACATCAGATATTTTAAAAATGGCTGTGTAAATTAAGAGTTTATATTGACTAATGTTCATAGAGAAACTTGTTTTATTTGAATTATCATTAATGCTTTTTGCTTAAATATTTAAATATTTAAAATTTTAAATAATGTTATTTATAATTTTATTTTTTAAATATATATTTATGAAGAGGTAGTACGTTAATGATACATTTTTTAAAATTATATTCAATTTATGAAATATGTGCATTCATAATATATGATAATTTTTTTAGTATCTACTGCAGATATTTACATTTTATTATAATTTTCATTAGTCCTTTATATTTATAGATTCTACGCGAATCATTACTTTCGGGCAATATTTGATCTATAAATATTAAAAAATTTAATTTAATATTAGTAACTTTCTTTTAAGAATGAGTATGAAGAAAGCCTGTCTGTAATTAAGATTTATCAGGATAATATTGATAAATTGAAACAAATGGAAATCTATTTTGTCATTTTCATACATTTGAGTTCAAGTGTTCTGTCCTTCTTTTTGGCCTTCTTTCTGGACATCGTAACAGGTTGTATTAGGACGCTATACTTGTAGTATAAGCGCTGCAATGGAATACAGAATACGAGTACGAATGAATAAGGAGAGTGGGACTTGCCCCGTTACCAAATCGTTATGGCGTAACATTTTGCTTATTCACGTTCGATTATACAATCCGGCATACTTTTACTCGACGTTGCTGGCTTGCCGAGTTCGAGTTCTCGGCATTGTGATGTTGCGCGATTAATAATACGAATGCGTTGCCTGCGGCCATACTGGAAACGAGGACGATCAGCTCTTAGCCAATTATCTACTGCAAATGCCAGTAGTGCCTTTTTCCGATACTTCCAGTATCTACAATACGTAAAGCATCTATTTCGCTTAAAACAAAATCTAAACGTTTTAGATAATCTTATAACATCTGCAGTTTTGTTGATAAATATTTTCCTCATAATATAATAATAGTTTACCAAGAAGATACTTTTATAAAAAGTTTTAATCTATTAAAATGATTATAAATTTTTAAATTCATCTCAATTCAAATATTCATTTTAAAACATTTATTATATTTATGTATAATTGAGCACATTTGGAGTTTTTACATAGATTTATTTTCTATGTATTCTATCAATAATTAATATTGTAATATTTGCCTGAATTTCAATAATTCCTGATTAATTTCAATAAGATATGTAAATATTTACATTATTTATATTTTTATTATTTATATTTGCATTTTTGCAGCATAAGTACGTTTTTCTCTAGATTTTTAACAAATTGTGTAAATATATTTTATATTTACGACATTGATTTTTAATATATAAAATTAGGTAATTTAAAGAATTTTTATATGTATCAATCCAAAAGTTCTTTTTAATAAATTTAATATTTCGACAAAAACAAATATGTACGGGAATGCATATTTCGTAATTTTTCTTTAGTTATAGTTGCTATTATTATTATTATTGTTGTTGTTGTTGATGTTCTTCTTCTTCTTCTTTTTATTATTATTATTATCATTATTATTATTTTACTACAATTATTATATAAAAATTTATATCTATAGGATTTAATGGAATTTTACTATAATATTTCTTTACACAAACTAAAAAATAACAAAAATAAAATTAAAATAAATTTACAGACTCTTAAATACGTTAGTAGTGTGCGTGTGTGTGCATGTGCCCGCGCGCATTTATTTTTTCCTTCCTCTTACTCTCTCTTTTAAATGATTACATTATATGAAATAATGGGGGAATCTTAGCAAGAACATTTGCCTCTTATTTGTGCAAATTTATAGTTGAATATATTTTATTTCTTAGTTCTCTAATAGATCGACTTTCAGCTATTCATTGTTATATTTAGATGAAATTTTTCATAAATTTTCATATTTTCCAATAATATATTAAAAATACAAATGGATTAGTCGTTATTTTAAGTAAAAAGATTTTATTAGAATAGCAATATTATCAATGAATCAGTTTTTTTAATTTACAAATATTTTATTTAATCATTAATAATTTTATAATAAATTTATTGCTTTAAGTTCTTATATCCTACTTCTCTTAAGAATTCTTTAATATAATTTTTATATTGATTATCTAGAGCTAAAACTTTTTATTTAGTTACAAAATTATTAATTATTAATTATATATAATTAATTCTATTTTCCTATAAATACCTATAATTGATATATCTATTGGTAATAATAAATAAATCTGTGTCGTAAAAAATCGTATTATAACAAATAGTAATGATCGAGTTTCATATTATCCAAATTTGGTATATGTTATTGACGATAAAACATTTCCATAGTCATTATAACTAATAAATCGTATACTCACACGTAGGGGGTTGACGATAATGTAGATGTTGAAGATTCGGAGATTGGTGGAGGTGATGATGTGGTGGTCCCATTGACGTTGGTAGGCCATGATTAGAATGTTGTTGATGAGGTGAGCTCCCTCTATGACCTTGGTACTGACCAGCTTGATGATGTTGATGATGTTGTTGAGGGTGGAAGGTTGGAGGTAAAAAGCCACCCGAACTTCCATATATTCCAGGACTGTGGCAAGCCGGTCTCCCTAACGCTATTTTTAGAAATCGTTGATTTCATTTTCCGATAAACTTATTAACTTAAAAACTATATTATCAAAAACAAAAAGCTTTTGTAACGCCTACAGTAGTATTGATTCTTGATTCAGCTTATCTCACCTGCTGTGAGGTGAGAGTGATGGGAGGCACCGAGACTTGATGATAGAGATGAACTAGGATTAAGCCTTGCTTTTAAGAGTAGATTTGCATCTTCATTGCCACCTGATGATGTACTTGATTCGACATCGCTAACTCCACTATCGGCAGGACTCGCTGGTAGAGATCCGCTTCCTATTTGATTAAATTGATATTTACATTTATTAAGATTTATTCTATTTGGTTATAATGTAGAGAAAAAGTTAGAATAGAGTTTGAATGTTCATGGAGTAGAAGAAATTGAAGCTCATCAGATCATTGGTTATGCATATCTGCCCTTCCCACGGTCATCCCTTCTCTACTGATACTTATTACACTTTAGAACCAGTCTTAACGGATTTTGCACGAATAATTATACGACTTTTCTTTTCCTTTCTTTTATGTTACGCAAAGTAAATCAAGATTCAAACTTCTAACCCTAACTAATTTGGTAATATGGTTTTACATATCTTCTTAAATTCTCTACGTCAAAATTGTATAGTATGATAGTCAGATTTTCTTATATATATAAATATATATCATATATATAAATATATATCATAAATAATTTCTAAACATATTCAATAAATGAAATTAAATTAAATTTTATGAAAAACTCAATTATTAAAATTAAAATTAATATAATATTTTAAATGAAATTTTCTATTTCATTGCCAGAGGCCATATATAATTGCAGAATCTGAAAAATCTTAACGCTAAAAAAAAAAAATTTTGAAATTCGCTGGTTAAAAATAAAATATTGTGTATATTCATAATATTATATATTATTTATTATTCTTCGATGATTTTTCGATCAATAAAGTGTCTAATTGATTATTTATATAAAACTTCTTATAAATAATGATTGTTATGTGGTTGCCGTACCTCTATGACTGACAATGAATTATTGAAATTCAATCAATTGAAATTTAAAATGAAATTAATTTTGTAACTGTATACTTATCAAGTGTACAAGATATTTTTGCAAATGATTTGATTTTTCTTATTTTAAGTTTTAAGCTTTCCAGTACATTAATCAAAAGTGCATCAATAAATTAAAAAGATATCAAATAGTACGAATTTAAAAGTAGATTTCAAACTATAAAAATCATAATAATAACTGTATTGATCACCATTCATAAAAAATAATATATCGAATATACATGAAAAATTAAAACTTTATAATAGAAAAATTATAAGAACTTTTTAATGCAGTTTTATGCATATGCTGCGAATATATCAATAATAATAATATAATATAGCGAGTCTTTATATTATAGAAGATAATATAAACTTCAAAAATTAATTTTAGTAATTCAGTCAACGATTGCATAATGTAAAAATTTAATAATTTTACCTAAACGTGCTTAAATCTTCCTGTCAAATACTTAGAAAATTAATGTTATATAATTTATTTTAAAATAAAATATTAATTATAGTAAATAGAAGATGTTGATACAAATTTTATTATAATTAAAAGTAAACTTTATATTTCCATTTTTTATACTAAGTTGTACATTTATATATAATAGTATCTTGAATATATAAAGTTAATAAGTTCATAAAAGTAATAAAATATGCATTGACGTATAACTTATGTATATCAAGTATTTGATGTGATGATTCAATATAAACTTGTATGCAAATGTATGTTTGTCTTTAAAAATAAAATATTGAAAATTAAGTCTCGACATAAAAGGCCAATACCGATTAAATAAATATAATTAATGGAGTTCAAATTGTTTTCCAGTATATCTTCATTAATACGATATAATATTTATGGAAGTGGTTTAATATAATACAAAGATTTGTATAATAATAGAGGAATAGAATGAACGCTGAAAATTGGATTAAGTATTACTCGTTAACTACCTCAAAGCATATCGTTTTAATTACTTTCTGTTTATCCACATATATTATCCACATCTATCTTATCTATTAAATATTTTATAAATATTAGATTGAGTTTGTCGTTAATACATTATATGTAAATAACATAAATATTCTAATTGAATTCATACCTGGCGTGCTAGTAGGTGGTATAGCAGCAGTACTGTACGGTGGTTGGCTACCTAGATGTCGACCGTAACCATTCTGTAAAGCAGCAAGTCCGTGTTGCTGATGTTGATGTTGATGATGGTGATGGTGGTGATGGTGCTGTGATTGTTGTTGTTGTTGTTGTTGGTGTTGGTGCTGCTGCTGCTGTTGTTGTTGTTGCTGCTGCTGCTGCTGTTGCTGCTGGTGTTGGTGTTGATGCTGCGAATGCGAGTGATGCTGCGACAGGATACCATGAAGAAGCCTATTGCCTGATAACGATCCCGGTTCAGACTTCACTGAAGCCAATGTTAATACTTCCTTTTCTGTTGGATCCCGCGCCTGTTGTACTAACTCTCTCGCATCCACTAAAAACATATGCAATAATACTTTTTATCAGATCTGTTTAATATTTAATTCGCACTTAACTACAATTATAATAAAATAGACTCAATGACCACTTTACACTTCTTATAGATGAAAATAAACAAAAATTCTGGGAATATGAAAATTTTTTTCATACATTTTAGGTTAAGGTTACAGACCTTTAACTATTAAAACTTTGTGCTTTTTAAAAAGAGCGTTAGTATTATTTGAGAACTACATAGATCGTTTTCACATAAACTGTGCATATTTAAGTTTTTATTTATTAAATTTTAAGTAAATAATTAACGTATAGATCGATAACATTTAAATTGCAGATTAATTCGTTTAAAATGTTAAACAAGTCGGTTAACAAATTATTTCTACCATCCCTTTTCGAACCCAGCATTCGTCCAGGTAGAAGTCAATAGATTTTGTTTATTCGTTCTACTAAATAAACAATGACTAATACGCATTAGTTAATAATGTAGAGTTAATAAATTTTTAATAATAAATTAAAAAAAAAGAAATAATATAAAGGGAAGGAATAGATGATGAAGCAGCGTCGAGGCCAGCGAGCTCGCACATACGTATTCGCCAGAGAGGAAGTGAAAGCAACGACGCGCCGCTTCGTCGTCTCTCCTTGACCCACTGCAACGTTTCTACTTTACTTTCAGACAGGCGCAGCAAGTAATTCCACCAACAGCGTCGTCAACGCTGCCAGCGCCGCCAGGTTCATTAGGCAATTTCTTAAGTCACAAACGCACACAAACACCGTACAACAGATGCAACATAATGTTTCACTAAGGTAGCGCGAAAAAAAGACGTTATTATGGGAATCGGTGGTTAATCGATTTATATTGTCCAATATACGAATCTCCATACTGTCAAAATATTTATACATTTCATTGCATTCAACTTTTCCTTTTTTATTCTCAACTTATTAAATCTTCAATTCAAATCACTAGATATTCGCGTTGCTTTCAATAATTGATATTAGATAATAATTATTTTAATTATTTCAAAAGATTGTCTTTCTATAAGTTTGTTATATATGACATAATCAATTAACGATTTAATTTCTACTTCTATGTATAATTCATTATTACTTTTTTTCCAATGACTTATTAATCAAGGTAAAGAATAATTCTAATATAAGGAAATAAATAAATACAATGTACAGATATCATTTATGTTAATCCATTTCTTTGTAAACATATTAAATATATATATATATATATATATATATATATATATATATATATATATATATATATTTTGCATTTCTTGTGGGTTCATTATAATAAGAATCAGTAATAGTATTTGACAATTAATTTAATTACTAATCAATATAAAGTTAAAATTCAAAATGCTAATGTTCATATTAATATTAGTTAATAAAATAATAACCACATTTATATAAATTACAAAATTATTATACAATTAAATAATTAATTTAAGTTTTTAATTATTTTAAATTTGAAAAATTAATTACCTAATATATTAGGTATGTAATTAAAAATTTTAGGTAAAAAGTTTTATATTGGTATAAAACTTGTTCCTAATAGCTGAAGATTATTAATAATTATTGTGTTTTTGAATTTTTTATAATTGATTCTTTACAAACAAAATTTTATTTATTATATATATGAAATATTTATAATATATATTTAAAAATATATATGGATACATAAATATATATATATATATATATATATATATGTATGTATGTATAATATTATGATATTGTTATATTTATATAGTAGTAGTAGTAATAGTAGTATTTCGTACAAAACATATAAATAAAATGCGTTTGAAATCAAATAAATAAATCAGGTTTATAATTTGTTTCTTAATGTATAGAGAACGTTATTAAACAATTTAAAACATGCGATCAATTACTAAATTGGAAACTACTTTTATTGAAAAAAGTTAATAAAATGAAAGTGATGCTGGAACATAAATGGGACGAAAGTATTATTAATTTATAATATACATAATTTAATTAAAATTTGGAGATAAATGATATTCGTATACGTGTATACATATTCTTATATGTATGTACGCCAAAAAGTTCAATGTTTAAATAGTAGTTAAATAAACGTATGAGTATATTAGCTTTGGAATGCTGTTCTTGTAATATGGCATTCTTTATTGTATTTTATCTTCTTAGATTTGATTACATTGTACAATTTAGATAAAACTTAGAATAGTTATATTTACTTGAGAATAATATAATTTTGTAAATAAATCGAGAAACATTGCTTTTGTATACTATTTTACTGCCAATTGAAAAAAAAATAATAATGAAAAATTGCCAATAATGAAAGTATTTAATAAAGTGGGAAACAAAAACCGTGCGATTAGAATTAAGGGCGTCGTGCCAGTCGTATAGTCGATTGAGAGCTAGGCACCTTGGCCATTGACCTTCGTTGACCTTGATCCTTTCGAGTTCGGAGGGAGTGGCGTCAACTATGCCATCAGCTCGTCTAGCCTCATCGACCGTAGACGCGTCTCTTGTACCCTCGCATCCATGCTTTTTTCTATTTTATTCTTTCTTCCTTACTTTTGTTTTTATTTTCTCCCTATGCCGTACTGTTCTTGATCCGTTAAAATCTCATGTAAATCATTATGAATCAGTGGCATTGGAATCGCATAAATTTCGCACATTGTAAATTTAAGCTTTTGTTAGATACCTTTCTTGCAACGTGATGTTGCAAGAAAGAATTACAGTGTAGCAGCATGTGTAAGTATGGTCAGTCTTTGCCTCAGCCACCTAACTTTCTCCTCTTCGTTCTCCTTCTTATCCTCGTCATCCGTACATCGTACGGTACTAATACACTCCAGCCCGTACGGCATTACGTAACGGTAACGACTCTCTCTTTCTATGTGACATCAACTCTCAACCTCCCAACTACATCGCCTTCGCTTTCGCCTGCACACTGTTATTGCTATCTCAGAATAAAAATGCTCTTTTAATTCCAGTTTAAATTATTTCATATACGTAAATGAATAATATGTTTGCTTTTTATATTTTCAATAAATGTTACCTTTTGAAGAAACAATTACGTTATATAATAAAATGTATAATTGTTATTCAACCTTGATATACATAATCTTAAACTTTGATATTTGTATAGTACAGAATCAGTGCGCTTATTTTTATTTATATTAATTATTCTTCTTCTTTCTTTATGAAAAAATTCTACCGATTGTTCTATAATGTATAGCTTTCGTTCATAAATCTTAGAAACTTTCAAATTCAAAAATAATGCTTACACTCGGTGCGTAAAACATTATCCAAATAATGTAAATTTTATTTTAAAAACACTTCATAACCTTTTTAAATCCAACTTAAATTCGTATTTTATATAAAGGAATGCTGTATTTTAGGTGGTATATTAATTGATATTTATAGTATAAATAAATAAAGAAAATTAAACATACTTTATTGCAAAGTATGTAATTATTAAAAACCCATTTATCAATGTTTATCAAGATATTTCTATATAAATTAATTTATATTAATGATAGAGTTAATTTAACATCAATTATTGAATTTTGTTTTAGTATCTTTTTTAAAAATAAATATAAATAGAGTCTATCTGTATTTCAAATTCAAAGGAATTATTTTATACAATTTTAAAATCTTCTACAACATCTATATTTCTTCAAGAGGTATGCAACTGTACCTTCGCAAGATTGTTTGATGATCATATTATAAAAACAGAGCTTTCAAAATTAATACACTTAATTTTATAACATAATGTGTAAAATAATAGATAATAACGTCTTTTGTACAAAGTCGTATAATTTTAAAATTCAGATATGTTGATCGGGTACGAATAAAAATGAACTTGTGAATAAAATCCAGGATATTTGATTAGTTCATTCGATGTACTAAATTCTAAAATACTTGCAAATGCAAATATATTAATCGATCAAATATTTTCATTTAACTTGATACTTTTGTTTTGAAATATTCCATTTCAATTTATACAATTAAAGAGTACGGCAAATTGTTTTTATTATTAAACATTTTTAAAAGTTCGTTTGAATGTGTGTGTGTGTGTGTGTGTGTGTGTGTGTGTGAGCGCGCGAGTGTACGCATATGTGTGTGTATGTAATTTATATTTTAAGATAAAATAGTAAAGAAAACTAAAACATTTCTGAATAAGTTCGAACCCCAAAAGGAAAAAAGCGAAATACAAAAATAAGCCGAAAGGGAAAGCGTGACTGTAAGTGAGGATAACGCAATACAATATTTGTCCATGACCTATTTCCCAAGACAAACGATTTAGCAGTCATTTCCGTTTTCTTCCTTTTTTATTCACCGTTAAGACCAGGCAAATAAATAAGAACAGCGACGAAACTCTATTAGACCTTCTTTTACATTACTTTCAAAGTAACGAATTATCTTGTGATAACATCACAATGAAATTGAGAGATATAATTTATATATATAATTATTTTGTCATAATAGATATTTATAGAATAAGAAAAATAAACTAATTATATATATATATATATTACATTCTATTCTTTAATTTTTTTATTCATTTATATTAGTAATTTTTAAACAGATATTTAATAAATGTTATGATAATAATTGTAGAATTATTGTTACTGTTAGATAATGAGAATATACACAAGTATAATGTAAGTGGTAGGTTTACATAAGGTGTTTATTGCTTTATTGGATTTGCTACTCAGTTACGGTGGGGTCGGTGTCCGGTTTGCGGATTTGTCGGCCGAGGTCCTCGCTTACGTCCACTCGTCATCGACTATGGCGACTTATACTTGTAAAGACCGAGCTCATGATGCCAGAAAGAGTCGAGAGAAACGCAAATAGTAAGATACTCAAATAAACAGACATAGAGCGAGAAGGGATAGGCAGATAAATAGATAGGTATGTGAGTATGTGTATATATACGTATATATATGTATATATATAAATATGCATGCTTAGATATGGAGAGAGGAGAAGAGGCGCAGATCGCGAAAG